AGGACACGGGAGGCCATGCCTCGGAGACGAAGCAGGGAGGGGTGACCAAGGCGGTGGTGCCAGAGGAGAGTCTCGTGCGACAGGAGGCGACACGAACAGGGGGCAGACTCAGGACCAGACCTGGACGCTGCAGCAAACACCTGACCCGACGCAGCTACCTGACCAGACGCAGTGACTGGAGGAGACGCAGTGGTCAGTGTGTACAGGCTCGACCCCGGCCGACGTGTAAACGTGGCCAGGTGTCGGCCTGTCCGAGCGTCCGTGCAGTGGGTCACCCGCTGACTCGCAGGAGTGAACTGGTGAACCCCCGCATCCTGTAGGTCAGCACCACTCACCAAGTTCGTAGAGAACGAGGGGAGGTAAAGACCAGACAGGGTGCCAGAGGGGGCCGCCGGACACGGGAGGACAGTGGAGAAGTGAGCAAGGACAGGACCCCCAGAGGGGTCTGCCAGAGAGACTGCAACTGGCCGGCCAAGCGGCGTGAGTGTGGTGCGGTCTCGAAAGAAGGAGCGAGAAGCCCCCGAGTCAAGGGTGAAGGTGTGGGAGGCCGAAGCCGACGCAGTACCTGAGAGAGCAGGCTCACCAGCACCTGAGTGAGCAGACGCACAAGCACCTAGAGCAGCAGCCTCGCTAGCACCTAGAGCAGTAGCCTCACCAGTACCTAGAGCAGCAGTCTCAATGCCCGGGTCGGGCGGAAAACACCGGTAACAGTCACCCTCATCACTAATAGTCACAGCATACATGGCAGCAAGAATAGCATCAAAGTCAAGGTCAAAGACAGCTACACCCGCCCTAGACAGCTCGCCCCAGCGGGGGATCTCAGTGGCCTCAGGGAACTGGTGACACCAAGCGTCCGTCAGGCGGCCAAAGCAGCGCTGGGTGGAGTGCGCACCCCCGCACTGCTCACCCGCGCGGTCGCCGGTGCGTAGGACGTAGGTGCACGGACCAGTACCCCCACCCCGCTGGCGTGCAGCGTACCACTCACGGAGCTGCTGAGGGGGGGGGATGTCACGAGTGCGCTGCTGCCGCTGCTGCTGCTGCTGCTGGCGCTGACCACCACCGGAGCCGACCCTCTGCCCAGCGCCACCCCGACCAGCTCCACCTCCTCCGCCGCCGCCTCCTCCACCGCCGCCACCTCCGCCACCTCCGCTCCCACCGCCACCGCCGCCGCCGCCTCCGCCTCCACTGCCGCCACCGACACCTCCACCCCCGCCACCACTCCCACCACCACCCCCACCCCCTCCACTGCCGCCACCGCTACCTCCGCCACCCCCGCCAGCCCCTCCAGCACCCTTGCCCCCCTTGCCCTTGCCGGTGCGGCGTCTCCCGCTCGGGGCAGACGCAGCGCCGACCGACTCGAGACCAACGAGTTCGGCCGCAGCAGCAGAGGCAACAGAGGGCAAAAGAGGGGAGGGGGAACACCCCTCAAAGATGGGGGTGCGAGGGTCACCACGAGAGGCTCCTACAGCTACTATGCTCTTTTCTGCTGCTAGGAGGGCCTTCTCGAGGAGGTCAACGGTGAGAGTGGTGGGGCAAACTGAGAGGAAGTGGTCCCTGACTACGCGCAGGGAGTCAGGGAGACGGGTGACTATGTAGTAGAGGGTGATGTACATGGGGGGGGGGTTCTTGGCGCAGAACTTAGCAGGAAGCGCAGCGCGGTAGCGAGTGTCACTAGTGCGGAGGTGCGTAATGAGGTCAGCGACTGTGGGAAAGGCAGCAAGGTCAGGGAAGAGGTACGGTAGCATGAGGCGGCTCAGTGCAGCAGTGGCAGGGGAGGAGTAGCGCGCAACTACAGCGTCGTACAAGGTGTGAGCACTCTTGTACTGGCTAAAGTGCGCACGCTCAGAGGTAGGCAGGTGGCGACGCACAGCAAGACGTGCAGCAGCATCGTGCGTGGCCCACTGTGAGCGAACAGTGGCGTCAGCATCAGCAGCGGGGGCAGGAGAGGCACCAGAAGTGAGGTCAAAGAGGGAGAGGCCGTCTGCCCTATCGCACTGTAAGAAAAGCTGCAGGTCATCTATCCAGATGTCAAAGTCAATGGCCCGACCCTCAGCGTCAAAAGAGAGGACACTAGGGGTAGCCATGACAGCAGTAGACTAGCAGCGCAAACAGTAGGGTGAGGGCAGTGCTGTGAAAGAGGCGCTGCTCTTACCGGACAGGGCGGCTCGGGCGGCTCGGCTGCAGGGCGGCTCGGCGGATCGGCTGCTGGGCGGCTCGGCGGCTCGGCTGCTGGGCGGCTCGGCTGCTGGGCGGCTCGGCTGCTGGGCGGCTCGGCGGCTGGGCGGCTCGGCTGCTGGGCGGCTCGGCTGCTGGGCGGCTCGGCGGGGCCGCTGAGAGGGCGGCGTCCGGGGCCGCTGGGAGGAGGCGGCGGGGCCGCAAAGGTAGGTGGCGGGGCCAGCAGGTAGGTGGCGGGGCCAGTAGGTAGGTGGCGGGGCCGCACAGGTAGGTGGCGGGGCCGCGGGTAGGTGGCGGGGCCGCTGGTAGGTGGCAGGGCCGCAGGTAGGTGGCGGGGCCGCACAGGTAGATGGCGGGGCAGCGGGTAGGTGGCGGGGCCGCTGGTAGGTGGCGGGGCCGCAGGTAGGTGGCGGGGCCGCAGGTAGGTGGCGGGGCCGCACAGGTAGGTGGCGGGGCCGCGGGTAGGTGGCGGGGCCAGCAGGTAGGCGCCGGGGCCGCACAGGTAGGCGTCGGGGCCGCAGGTAGGCGCCGGGGCCGGAAAGGGCGGCGTCAGGGCCGCAGGGCGGCGCGAGGGCCGCTGGGTAGGCGACGAGGCCGCAGGGCGGCGGATCGGGGCCGGGTAAGGGCGCGCGATGGCCGCGGAGTAGGCGACGAGGCCGCCGGGCGGCGGGTCGGGGCCAGGAAGGGCGGCGCGAGGGCCGCAAGGCAGGCGACAGGGCCGCTAGGGCGGCGCGACGGGGCGAGAAAAAAAAAAGGAGGGGGGGGGAGCGCGACTCGGGCTAGGACTGAGCGCGCTCCGGGCAGAAAAAAAATGTCGAATTGGTGGGCCCTAGGAACAGTTCCCACGAGGGAACCTGCTCGATACCATGTTAGAATAGAAACGAGAATGGATGGACTAAGGGAAAGTTGGGTACAAATGTAAACCCTAGAAAACTGTACCCCATATGTGCTACCCCACTATAGCCTACAGTAGCTATGTCATATAAATCTGATAGGCTTAGGTTTTAGGAATGAGGAGGATTGTACGGTACTAGCAGGCAGGTGGAGTACATATAGGAAACCCTAAAAGGGTTGTACTCTTTGTTGAGTACCTCACTACAGCCTACACAACAAATAACATTTTGACATTTAGCCCTTAAAGTACGTTGCTAGAAGGCCGTTTCGTATTCGTTTGTAATCTAACATAAATTTATATATGTCTTTCTTTCCGGTGGTCATTTCTGTCATTTTTCATTCACTCTTGTCAGAATCATAGCTAAGGCTAAGAAGCCATGGCTAGGGTTTAGGGTAGAACGAGAGGATAACTAGAAGGTTGCCAAAGCAAAGAGGGTTGCACTATAGAACTTGGTACAAGTTATAGGCAAGCATGAGGGTGCACCACCACACAAGAACATAGAACTACACTAAGTTTACACTACAGACAGTTACAGAATAATGTATACAATTACATTTTGATAACTCTGACAGGCCTCAATCAATTCCGCAGAATTTTCACTCGGCGATCAAACCTGAGAACGATCCTGATTAAGTCCCCCGTGAGATTGTAACAAAATGCATGGCAGCCTTTATCTTGTTATTGCAATCGTCATTGTCATTGAAAATATCACTTCGCGTTGTGACTGTTGCATACCCCTTATGCTGATTTTTTTATGGTTGAGAAAAATTAACAGGTCCCAACCTGATGTTCTAAACACAATTTCTTGTTTTATGTTGAGCTCAGCTATGTTGTTCCAAGTTTTTGTGTGGTGTATCAAGGAAAGAATGACAGTACACTGAAGATGAGGTTATAATAAAGCAACAAATGTAACTGCACAGGGTTCTGGTTTAGTCGAGGTTAGGAACAGGCTCGGAAGTCCGAAGGCGACGCGGGCAGCCTCGGATGCGAGGTTTCTCTAGAGCCGAGCCGAGGTTTCCGATGTTTCGGTTTTTACGCGATGGAGAAAACCTCGTTAGGGAAACAAACACCCCTGATAGGGTTATGGCTTTCCCGCGCATATCCATGCCGTCATCGCAACGGCTTCTGGAGGTTGCGTTTGCGAATTGGCCTTGAGTTTCGCAAGACAGCCTGCATCACTCACGTTCTGCTGGGCAGCGCGAGGTTAGCGGAATGCGTGGCGAGAACATGTTTTTTTTAGATTGGTGGCCGAACTGGGACGGGCAGAAGTTACACTCTCGCGAAATTGTCGCCATCGCGGCGACATTCGCGCGGGCAGCATGTCTGGGCGGGCTGACATTTACGAGCAGTCGCGCCGCGCTGAACCCTACGTACTTCCCTCACCTCTTTTGCCTCGTCCCTCTGGCGTCCTCCTCTCTTTCCAAGCCTGCTTGCCTCCAGTACATATCTCAGACACCAGTTCCCTTTTATTATCACGCTCTGCTCAGCTAGTCTTACAGATCTACTTCCTCGGCTGCTTCTCCTGCCTCGCACACTGGTCCAAAGACGTTCAAAGCCTCCTTTCGTGCTCTCGAGTAGTGTTATTCGAAACGCTTACAGCTCCCGTTCTGTAAAACAGTGCGACCTTAGCCAATCGCGGTTTCGCGGACGTGCACTCGCTTGCCATGGACAGCTGGATGGCCAAGCCACCAGCTTATGCCGGTTTCTCGTGCGACTCGCTGGCAAAGTCGACCAGCGAAGGCCAATGCGAAGGCTCCGATCCGAGCAAGCTAGAAGGTAACAGACGAGTACTTGACGACCCGAGCTATAGTGTGAACCCCACGCGAGAAACATGAGCCTTGGACTTCGACCGCCCTTCGACCGACCTTCGACCGCCCTTTTCCCGCGCTGCACGAGACCCCCTGTCACGCCGTAGACGCGAGAGCGAGTAATGGTTAGCACGCGAGTGCCAAGCGTTTCCCGCGCGCGTGTCGTGCTGGCAGGTCTCGTCACGGCGTCGTGGTACGCGCCGTCCGAGACGTCCTCCGCGCCAACCCACCCCACGCCGCTCCGCGTCGCCCTCGTCGCCTCGTCCGACGCCTCCGATTCGTCCGTTGCTTCGACGCTCCCCGCCTACGGCGGCGAAAATGCTGCTGCCGTCGAGCGACCCGCGAAACTGGCCGCTGCAGTCCAATCGCCCCCCGCCGCCCGCGGCACTGGTAAAAGAGCTGTTGCTCCGCGTGCGGTTCCGCGGCCGGTAGTAATGAGCGCGTATGACGGCGTGCTGGACCCCGACCTGTTCGAGACCGCCGGCGAGTTGGGGCGCGGCGGGTTTGGCACGGTGGTGGCGATGCGGCGAGTGGAGAGCGGCGAGGTGGTGGCGGTGAAGCGCGTGGCGCGCAAGCAGATGGTGGCGGCGGCGAACGAGGCGATGGTGGCAGCGTCGCTGAGCGAGTGCCCGGGCGTGCTGGGCGTGCGCGAGGTGCATCTGGCCGACCACCACGCGTACCTGCTCTCCGACGTCTGCTCTGGCGGCGACCTCCGCGCCCTCCTGCAGCGACGCGCAGCCGCCGCTGCCGCCGCAACCGCGCCCGCGGAGAAAGGCAAGGGCAGGCGGTGGTGGGGGAAGGCGAGCGGCGAAGGCGGGCGGGGAGGGGGAATGGCGGAGGCGGAGGCGCTGGAAGTGGTGAAGCACGTGGGCGACGCCGTGGCGTTCTGCCACGAGCGAGGCGTGGTGAACTGCGACATCAAGCCCGACAACATCCTCTTCGCCTCGCCCCTCTCCAACCCTCCGCCTTGCCAACCCGCTGCTAGCCCCGCTGCGCCTGCGCGCGCCTCTCCTGCTGCCCGCCTCTGCGCGCCCGTCTCCTCGGCGCGCGCCGCCCCCAGGTTGGCCGCGGGGGCAGTGCGGCTGGCGGACTTTGGGTTGGCGCAGGTGGTGGCGGAGGGGCAGCGCGCGTGCAGCACTCCCGCAGGCACGCCCGGGTACATGGCGCCTGAGGTGGAGGCCCTCTGCCGCCCTCGCTGCCCGCCCGCCCCTGGCGCCGCGAAGCAGGGAAGAGGAGCAGCGGCGAGAGCAGCAGGGGGAGAGGCGGAGGCAGGCGGGTATTTGCAGGCAGCGGACGTGTGGTCGCTGGGGGTGACGCTGTTCGAGATGATCGCAGGCGAGCGGCCGTACGCGGGGGAGGCGCCTCAGCAGGGCGAGTGGCGCGCGCGCATGGAGGGGGCAGCGTGGGAGGGCGTGTCGGAGGAGTGCCGCGCGCTGGTGAGCGGCATGCTGAGAGTGCGCGCGGAGGAGAGGCTCACCATGGCGCACGTGTGCCACCACCCCGCCATGATCCGCGCCTTCGGGGGCAGCGGGACGCGCAGTAGGAAGGGGTGGTGGTGAGCGTGATGCGGTCAGGAGGAGGAAGCAGGGAAGGGTGTGGTGAGCAGCAGGGGGAATGCAGGTGGCTTGGCGTGGCGGTGGGGGGATACAAGGGAGAGTGGGATGGTATGGTGGAGCACCACTTTTTGCACCCTGCCTGTCAGGGTGTTTGGGATGCTGGGTGGATTCGGTGGATGGAAGGGGATGGGTGCACGTCACCTTGCTGTGTCGTTTCCTGCTCGCTCACGCTTGCTCTCTCTGCTTTCAAGGCTTGGGGGCTGGTGTGCATGAGGCTGCTGATGCTCGCACACGTTAGCTCGGTTTTAGCTCAATCAATGCAATGTGATACCGTATCACCCCGGATATAAGCGCATATGCGCTTATAATAAATCCATTTTTTTGAGGGGGGGCGCTTGTAATTGAGTAACGGCCATAGGCGCCGGCGCTTGTATAATGACAAATACGAATTTATATATTTAGAGCACCAAATTGTTCATTTTCTTCTTGCCATTTCAACCGAGTCGAAAAGTTTTAGCGTCACAATGCAGAATCTTGCGCAAGCGATATTCTGGGTTCACACACAGGCAAAGCCACGTCATGCCAGCACATCCTGACTGGACGCGCAGCCAGTCAGGTCTTCGCGAGTCAAACGAAGCGAAATTGAAATTTGACTCGCTGCAAAAATGGATTTCGTTACTGTTTTAGGCAAGAATTTAAATTCAAATCGCATATGCGCTTATAATAAGTAAAGGTTTTCTAGGGGGGGCGCTTATAATCGAATTCCGGCCATAGGCGCCATGCTCCAGATAGAAGCGCCGGCGCCTTTAATCGGACGGCGCCTATATCCGGGGCCGTACGGTATGATATGTTCAAATTGGTGCAGCGCAGTGGGATTTGTTCCATTCGCACCCCCATTTCAGGACACAGGACACTTCGCAAGCTAATCAGAGTGTGTCATAGGGTGTCCACGCTAACTGTACCCCAAAAAGGCATTTATGTATGTAGACCGCAGCTTTAAAGAGTCGGACATATGAATGCAGCAATGCAACGGAGGGAAAGTGTCAAGAATACAACTAGGAATGATGGATTGGACTAGGCAAGAGGTGAGTACAAGTAGGGGAAACCTAACCCTAAAGTGTTGTACTCACTAAGGAGTGACCCTACTGTAGCCTAGAGATACAATGGTAATCTAACACTTTAAAGCAAACACAACAAGCGGTCACAAGACCAGTTTGCAGAAGAGAACACAGCTCAGGGTGGATCACAAAGTCACCACGCATTCTGAGCACAAGCAAGTGGCCACAAGGCCAGTTCACATGCAGAGGTATATAATAGCAAGGCAGTACACTGATCACAACCTAGCAAGAGAAAACATGCAGGCATAAAGATATATAGCAGTGTACAACAAGAGCAAGTCAAGCAACCAACAGGTGAGGCAGAGTGGGCACAAGCCCAAGAGCAGTGCAGAAACGGTGATGATCACCAGCCCCAAGGGCCTTGGTGAAGACATCAGCAGTGTTGGCCCGAGAGGCCACGTAAGCAAGGCGCAGCTGACCACGCTGCTGCAGCTCACGCGCAAGGAAGTAGCGAAGAGCAATGTGCTTCGTTCTGTGCTCCAGTCTCTGCTCGCGACACAAGGAAAGCATTGCCTTGTTGTCGACGTACAGAACTGGAGGAGAACGAGGCCGCTCCCCCAAGTCGGTCAGCAGGTAGGTCAGCCAGCGTAGCTCCTGTGCAGCCATGGCCCCAGCGTAGATCTCGGCCTCACAGCTGGAACCAAGCACAGAAGAAGAACGAGTGGACCTCCACGAGACAGAACCAGTGCCAAGACTGAAGGTGTAACCCTGTGACGAACGCTGAGTCGTCTGGTCGTCGGCCCAAGAAGCGTCAGAGTGTCCTGTGAGGACCACCGAACCCCGTCCTCCAAGCACGAGCCCCATGCCCGATGTGCTGCACAAGTAACGCAGTACCCTCTTCGCAGCATCCAAGTGCACCTTTCGGTGTCGACCAGGTGCCACGTAGCGAGCCAGGAGGCTGAGAGGGTAGGCGAGGTCAGGTCGTGTGCACGTCATCAGGTACATGAGGCAACCCACAAACTCTGGGTACGGACCACTCGGCTCTACGGACTCGTCCAAAGGTGGAGCTGAGAGCGAGTGGCCGGTAGACAGAGGAGTGGGCTGTGGCGAGGACCAAGTGAAGCGGAAGCGCTGAAGGACCTGGTGCACCATGTGTGACTGAGTGAGGGTGATGGTGCGCCGTGGTCTGTCCCGGGTGATCTGCAAGCCAAGATAGCTCCGCAGCTCACCCAGGTCAGTGCAGGTGTGTCTCTCCTGCAGCTCTGCCTTCACTAGGGCCAGTGCCTCAGTGTCAGCAGTAGCAAAAACCAAGTCGTCGACGTACACGAGGATGTAGAGCTGCGGCAGAGTAGTGTCGGTGCGTAGAAACAGCGACGGGTCAGCAGTCGAAGGAGCAAACCCAAGAGCCGCAAGTGTCGTCCTCAGTGTGTCGTGCCACTCACGGGGCGCCTGACGCAGGCCGTACACTGGTCGCCGTAGGCTCCACTGGGTACCCTCAGGAAACGACCCAGTGAAACCCTGTGGACGGCGCAACCAGATGGCCTCGTGAAGGCTACCCTGCAAGAAAGCTGTCGAGAAGTCGAGGGAGTGCAGCTCGTAGTCACGCTGAGCTGCAACGTGTAGCAACACCCGAAGAGTGGTCATCTTCGGGGTGGGGGAGAAGGTCTGAAAGAAGTCGACCCCCTCACGCTGACTGAAGCCTCGAGCAACGTAACGTGCCTTGAAGGCAGGCGGAGAACCCGGCGGCCGCTTCACCCTGAAAATCCACATGCCACTGACGATGTTCGCCCCAGGTGGGGGAACCTCGTCGACGTAGGTGCCTGTGGACTTCCAGGAAGCCATCTCTGCGTCCATGGCTGTCTGCCACTGAGAGGAGTACTCACCCGAAATCGCCTCCCTGTAGGAGCGCGGGGTGGGGATGTCAAGTGCATCCGGGTCTCCCTCAGGGGCAAGCAGCATGGTCGCGTGATGGGGTGAAGCGGCAGCAAGGCACTCCAGCTCCTCCTGTCTGTCCTCAAGAACGTCACAGCCAAGGGCAGTACAGCCAAGAGCAGTCTCACCCCCGACGGACGGAGGACATGCAGGGACAGGGTCAGAGACAAGACTCGCAAGGTAGTCTAGGCGGTATACAGCAGCAAAGTCAACAAGCTCAGCTACTAGGGCAGACGCAGCAGGAGACGAGAACGTAGGGTCCGTCACAACCGTAGCAAGAAGGCGAGTAACAGTCGGACTGGACGCACGAGCAAGGTCAGACGGAGGGTCAGCAATGTCAGGCAGAGAGGACGCAGGAGGTAACGGTAGTACAACACGCTGAGGAACAGAGGAAGGACGGAGTGTCATATCGTGAGTGCCGGGGACAGCCGGAGCACGCGGACGACGAACACGAGGAACACGAGCACGGACAGCAGCTCTAGGCTCAGGCTCAAGGACAAAGCTAGACTCAGGCTCTCGACGCTCAGGGGTGGAAGCACGAGTCTCAGGCTCTCGACGCTCAGTCAGGGACTCTGACACCGCAGTGTAAGGAGCAGGAGCAGGCAGTGGGGAGTGTGGTAGCAGCGGTGGCTGTGACTGGTCCGCTGGCGGACACAGCAACGGAGGAGTAGTACCTGCCACAGGGAAGCCAGTAGCACCTGGCGGAAGACTGAGAAGGTGGCGAAGAGCACCAGTAGCTCCCGTACCTCCAGCACGAGCAGCTCCTCCAGTACCCCCAGCAAGACCTCCAGCACCAGTAGCACCAGCACCTCCAGCACCACGAGCTCCGACAGCGCCAGCACCTCGAGCACCAGTAGTACCTCCAGCACCTCCAGTGCCTCCAGCTCCAGCTCCAGCGCCTCCAGCACCAGTAGTACCTCCAGTACCTCCTGTACCAGCAGCTCCAGTAGCACCTCCTGCACCTCCAGCACCAGCAGTACCACCTGCTCCGGCAGCTCCAGCACCTCCAGTACGAGCACCTCCGGGACCAGTAGCTCCAGCACCTCCAGGGTCAGCAGCTCCCGCAGCTCCAGCACCAGGAGCACCAGCACCTCCAGTGCCACCAGCTCCAGTACCTCCAGCACCGGCAGCAGCTCCAGTACCCCCAGCACTAGCAGCTCCAGTACCTCCTGCACCAGCAGCACCTCTAGTACCTCCAGTAGTACCTCCAGCACCTCCAGCAGTACCTCCAGCACCTCCAGCACCAGCAGCAACTCCTGGACTAGTAGCTCCAGCACCAGCAGGACCGTACCCTCCACCACCAGGACTGCCTCGCAGAACGACCCACGCACGAATCGCCTGCGGCGAGAGCGTCTCAAGTAGAGCAGGCTGCGGTGGCTGTCCAGCTCCAGTACCTCTAGTAGTGGTAGCTCTAGCACCTCCAGCATCAGAAGCACCTCTAGTACCTCCAGCTCCAGCACCTCCAGCACCAGCAGCAGCTCCAGTACCTCCAGCACCAGGACCTCCAGAAGGACTCGCAGCACCCCCAGAGTCAGCACCCGAAGTCTCAGCACCCCCAGAGTCAGCACCCAAAGTCTCAGTACCCTCAGTCCCAGCACCCTCAGGCTCAGCACCCTCAGTCCCAGCACCCTCAGTCTCAGCACCCTCAGTCTCAGCACCCTCAGTCCCAGCACCCTCAGTCCCAGCACCCTCAGGCTCAGTACCCTCAGTCCCAGCACCCTCAGTCTCAGCACCCTCAGTCTCTGCTCCAGTGTCCACAGCAGTAGGTTGCAGAGGCGGCGAAGACGGCAGAGGTGGGAACCCGGGGGGGGTAGCCAGACGAGGAGAGCGGGCACCCCCAGACTCACCACCCCCAGCCCCAGCTCCAGTAGTCTCAGCTCCAGAGTCCACAGCAGCAGGCTGCGGAGGCGGCGAAGACGGCCGTGGCGGGAAACCCGGGGGGGTCGCCAAGCGAGGAGTGTGGCGAGTGGTCGCCGTGTCGTCGGCGACGGCGTCACCCCCCTCAGGTGAGTCAGAGGAGTCAGAAGAGATCTCAACTGGCTCATCCAAGGGGGGTGGGTCTACCTGGGACACACCTGAGGGAGCAGGACCCTGTGGGGGGAGGGGGTCTACCGGGGGGGGGACTGGTACCAGGAAGAGGGGTGCAAGGGGGACCGGGTGGGACGCGTGCGGGTGAAGTCGGTAGTAACAGACCGACTCGTCGAAGGTGACGTCCTGAGAGGACAGAACACGACGCGAGGCAGGGTGGTAGAACTGCCAGGGTGGAGCGTCGGTGGGGAAGCCCAGGAAGACACAGCGGAGAGTGCGAGGAGAGAGCTTGCTCGCTTTGGTATCGCGAACAAGGGAGAGCGCGCCCCAGACCCGAAACGACGACACATCACCAGGCTGTCCCGTCCAACGAAGTGTGGGCGAGGTCTCTGGAGCAGAGACACGGGGCCAGAGGTTGAGCTGATGCGCGGCGTATCGGACCGCAAACGGCCACAGGAAATGGGGAGCAGCCGCATGGATCATGGAGGTACGAGCAACCTCCATGATCAGGCCAATGCGACGCTCAGCGATCCCATTTTGCTGCGGAGAGGCCGGAAGCGTGAACGACTGGGCGATGCCCTCATCCTGGCAGAACGTCTCAAGGACGCCAGAAGAGAACTCACCACCCCTGTCAGAGTGCAGACGCAGGACTGGGAAGTCCTGATGAAAGCGCTCGTGTAGCTGGAGACGAGTAGCACGGATCCAAGGGATCAAAACACCGCTGACGTCCGCCTTGCGACGCAAGGGGAAGACTGTGGTGTAGCGTGTGTAGTCGTCAACAACCAGCAGGAAGTAGCGCTCCTGGTCCGTCCCACCGACGGGGGTCGGGCCCCACACGTCCAGGTGGAGAGTCTGCAGAGGAGCAGTGGTCGGAGGAAACTCGGAGGAGTGAGGAGCGGCGCGCTGCCGCCCCTCGACGCAAGGAAGACACGGCGGCGCAAGTGAGCGCGGGAGGGGGGGCAGGGTCTCAGGGAGGCCAGAGACCAGGAGCCGAGAGTGCATGCCGCGCAGACGCTGCAGGGAGGGGTGACCAAGACGGTGGTGCCAGCGCTGAGTCTCGTGCGTGAGTACTCTGCACGAGCAAGACGCAGCTAACTGCCCTGACGCAGACGCTCGACTCGACGCAGCTACCTGACCTGACTCAGCCACCTGTGCAGACGCAGTGGTCAGTGTGTACAGACTAGACCCAGGCTGACGAGTGAACGTAGCCAGGTGACGGCCAGTCCGGGAGCACGTACAGATCGCCACACGCTGCCCTCCAGGAATAAAGGTATCAACCCAGACATCCTGAATGGCAGCGTTGCTCACCAAGTTCGTCGAGAACGTGGGGAGGTGGAGACCTGACAAAGAACCAGAGGGGACTGCTGGACAAGGGAGGACCGTGGAGGCTCTCGCAACCACTGGGCCCCCAGAGGGGTCAGCCAGTGAGACTGGGACAGGTGCTGTGAGTGGTGTGAATGTGGTGCAATCACGGAAGAAGCAACGTGACGCGCCTGAGTCAAGCGTGAAAGTGTGCAAGACCTCAGCTGAGGCAGGACCTGTGGTAGTAGACGCACTAGCACCTAGAGCGTCGGTAGAATCACGGGCACCTAGAGCTGCAGCAGACTCACTAGCACCTGGAGCGGCAGCAGACTCACTAACACCAAGAGCAGCAGTCCTAACAAAACGATAACCTCCACCACCAGGACGACCTCGCTGAATAACCCACTCACGAAGCTGCTGAGGGGTGAGGTTGTCTGGGAGAAGCAGTGCCCGCTGCTGTCCACCCCTGGCCGCAGCAACTGCCGCGGAAGTGGCCATGACAGACAGTGACGGTCAGGAGTAGGTCCAGCACCTCCAGCTCCTACAGCGCCAGCAGCACCTCCTGCACTCCCAGCAGCACCTCCTCCACTCCCAGTAGCACGAGTAGGAGCAGCAGCAGTAGTAACAGCAGCAGGGCGGCGCGCGGCCAGAGCAGGGCGGCGCGCGGCCACAGCAGAGCAGTAGTAGGCAGTAGCTCCTAGGGCAGAAGCACCTAGGGTCCTCTTTTTTTTTTTTTTTTTTTTTTTTTTAATAAACAATTTAATTATATTTAGGGTATAGCAGGGCGCTGGCGCAGGGCAGGGCGCTGGCGCAGGGCAGGGCGCGGGCGCAGGGCAGGGCAGGGCGCTGGCGCAGGGCAGGGCGTCAGCGCGCGCAGGGCAGGGCGCTGGCGCAGGTTGCAGGGGCAGGACGCGCGGGCTGCAGGGGCGCCGCGCTGGCTGCAAAGGCAGCTCGTACGGGCTGCAGGGGCCGCGCGGACGGGCTGCAGAGGCGGCGCGCGGGCTCCAGGGGCGACGCGCGGGCTGCAGGGTCCGCGAGGACGGGCTGCAGAGGCGGCGCGCGGGCTCCAGGGGCGACGCGCGGGCTGCAGGGTCCGCGAGGACGGGCTGCAGAGGCGGCACGCGGGCTCCAGGGGCGACGCGCGGGCTGCAGGGTCCGCGAGGACGGGCTGCAGAGGCGGCGCGCGGGCTCCAGGGGCGACGCGCGGGCTGCAGGGTCCGCGAGGACGGGCTGCAGAGGCGGCGCGCGGGCTCCAGGGGCGACGCGCGGGCTGCAGGGTCCGCGAGGACGGGCTGCACAGGCGGCGCGCGGGCTCCAGGGGCGACGCGCGGGCTGGCTGCAGAGGCGACGCGCGGCTGCAGGGGCAGCGTGAACGGGCTGCAGGGGCAGCGTACGGGCTGGAGGAGCAGCGCGCGGGCCACAGGGGCAGGCGCGGCTGCAGGGGCAGCACGGTAGCAGGGGCGAGCACGGCTGCAAGGGGCAGCACGGTCGTAGGGGCGAGCACGGCTGCAGGGGCAGCGCGGTCGCAGGGGCAGCGCACGGGCTGCAAGGGTCGCGACAGTGAGAGCTAGGGGCGTCAGCGCGCTGGCTACTGTGTAGGGCGTGGCGCTACCACTAGGCGGAACGGTGGGCCCATGTAGGAACGGTTCCTACTCTGATAACATGTCAAGAATACAACTAGGAATGATGGATTGGACTAGGCAAGAGGTGAGTACAAGTAGGGGAAACCTAACCCTAAAGTGTTGTACTCACTAAGGAGTGACCCTACTGTAGCCTAGAGATACAATGGTAATCTGACAGAAAGAACATGTACCGTAGGTAATGATCACAGAAACCCACTGCAGTGAACATGCATGGAACACAGAGTGACATTCTGCAAGTAGCACCACACAATAAAGTAGCACGCTGCTGAATCGCCTCCACGATGCCGGGCGGACAACCTGCCTAGGGCCGTGGGTGCAAGAGCGTGTGTGCTATCGCGTGCGACTACCGTAGCTTGCACCACCTGGGCACCAGGTTGCCATTGCATGGTCTTGTACCGTACATGCTTTGGCATCCAAATGCGTGCTGTTCTGTCCCATTCCAATTGGTCAAACATGCTATCAAGAAGGACCTGGGCGCTATCAATGACTGGTACCGATAATGATTCTCACCCCATTTACAGGGTTACATAGCGCGGATTACGGTAAAGAACAGCCCATGGTAGAAAATCATTCCGTTAAACCCACACCCCGAATTACACAACGAAGTCAGCAAAAAAATTGTAGGTTCGGAAAACCCCAGAAGGAGGTTCGGTGGAAAAATCGAGAACCAATCGCGTCAAAAACCCACTCAAAACTTTCGACCAATCACGTGAAAGTGGTGACAGTTTTGGGGCCGACACGGTAATTCTGGATGTGTCCTTTAAACACAAACATCCCTGCTTGAATGACACTATCTCAAGTTCTGTACAACCTCCAGCAGCATTGCCATGACAGCTGAGTGCTGCCGCAGGTGCGGGAGGAGGAGCGCCAGCAGCAGCAGCAGCGGGAGGGGCGGGGAGAGTGGTGCAGGAGTGGAAGCGGCAGAGGCAGGTGGGGAGCACGAGGCCATAGCCGTGTGCAGGGCGCGGCCCAGAGAGAGTGGAGAGGGGAAGGCAAACGCAAGGAGGAAGAGCGGGAAGAGTTGACTGCCTGGTTGCTCCTGCGTGGTATCTGCCAATGGCCTGCTCATGCTGCCTGATGCTTCTGCTGCTGTTGCTGCCCCCGCCAAGTCTGATGCCTGCTGCTCCTGTTGCCGCCACAGGAGCAGGGCCCGGCGCGAGTAGTCTTCCAGGTGTTGCCGCAGGAGGGGCGAGGTTGAGTGAGAGCGGGTGCGGTGAGCGGGTGCAAGCAGGTGACGGTGGAGGGTGGAGCAGAGGGAGCGGAGAAACAGCGGGCTCACGATGGGTGATCCAAGAGGGCTGGCGCGGTGGGAAAGGGTGGGCGAGGAGAGTGCACGGAGCGATGGAATGAAGGCTTCCAACACCTGGGATGACGTAATCAGGGCGAGGTGTGGGAAGGTGGGGGGTGGGGGCAGGCACGGGTGGATTAAAGGAGAACAACTCGTAACTTTTCAAACGGGCCCAGACAGTTCAGAAGGGGAGAAGAGAAGTGTGATGGGGAGAAGCGTGGGACGGAAAGGAGTGACATTGAGGCACAAGCACAGGGCCACGCATGCTCGGAGCCCGTGCCCTGGGCCCTGAAAGCTGAGAAACGAGCAGAGCCCACGTGCTGCCATACGCCATTGTTTCGCTGCCTTTGGTCCAATCCCATCGAGGCTACGGCTCAAGGTTCCTGATGTGCCAGCGATGGAATTCCATCGTGTTGCCATACGCCACTGTTACGCTGCTTGATGTGCCAGCGATGCCACAACTCGCCCCTTGACCCTCGGCTTTGCAAGGCTGTGTGGAGGGAAATGAAGTTGCGGGTGAGAAGCAGGAGGAGGTCACCTGGAAGGAGGAGATGAGGCAGGGCAGTGCGGAGCCACAGTTGGTGTGCGAGTGACGCAGCGAGCGCACGGCCTGGCAGGTGGTGGCGAGAAAGAGGAGTACCTGGCGGGGGGAGGTGGGGGCAGAGAGAGGGCACGTGGGAGAATGAATGTTGTAGGAGTAAGCCCACGAACATCTGATAACCGCCACAGTAGTGGAATTGAGTTGATAGAATCCAGGCACACACAAGGAGCAGTGTGGTGTGGCGTGGTGCAATGTGGTGTGGAGTGCTCACCTCCAGCAGCTCCGGCTGCTCCGCTGCGTGCGCCATGAGCAGCGCTGCCTGGCAGACCGATGAGAAGCCCTCATGGCTGCATGTGGATGGGGGAGGGACGGAGGGCAGTGAGACCAAAGGCCGGTGGGCGGAAGTGTTAGAATCAGCCCCATCATGTATCATACACACACTCGATGGGACTTGGTTAGCTATTAACATCCGGAATCATCTTGGGTGTATAGCTAGTTATTATCCTAAATTAAAGGGTTGGGTCAAACCTAGGCTCCGACATTGTGCCCCAAAATGGTTGGGTTCACAGTAATTTGAGGCCCAATAATCTTGGGGACCTAGATGATTGGGCTCCTCAATCATTGTGGACCCCAACTTGTTGCGGGGACCAATGATTGAGCCACGCCCATTGTCCAACTACTTTCCATCTCCTCACCTATGTATCCCCCCATTTTTCTTGATCAACCTATCATTCAGTTTTCTCACAAGAAGTAGGACATATGGACGAGTATGAAGAGCAAACTGGGTGAGAGCAGAGAGAGGCTGTGAATATGAGTGATGGATGGAGGCGTGGTGTGACGAGAGAGGAGTGGCAGCGTGGTGGAGCGGTAAAGAACTAGGGGTGCAGCGGGTGCGGGGAAGGAGAGAAACTGCCCACCTTGAGGTTGCATGCGGTTGAACAGTGGAGCGTGGCAGGGGGCGGCAGAAGAGGCGGTGGAAGGCGGATAGGACGGGGTCGGCCACTGGCAGGGCGGCTGCCATGCTCCGCGCTGAGACGGGTGGCAACTGGCCGGGGAATGTGTGGAGGGACGTGTGTGAGATGACGGGTGTGAGATGACGTGTGTGAGATGACGGGTGTGAGATGACGTGTGTGAGATGACGGGTGTGAGATGACGGGTGTGAGATGACGGGTGTGAGGTTGGGTGAAAGAGACAGGGGGGGGAAAGAAGTGGGTGTGCAGAGTGTATAGGGGTGCATGGTCATGGAAGGTAGGAGGGGCATGGAGAATAAGTGAGGGAAAGGGGAGTATGCAGGAGAGAGGGGAGTATGCAGGAGAGAGGGGAGTATGCAGGAGAGAGGGGAGTATGCAGGAGAGAGGGGAGTATGCAGGAGAGAGGGGAGTATGCAGGAGAGAGGGGATGGAGGGAGAGATGGCCAGGGATGCACGGGACGGCAAAGGGCGGGGAAAGAAAGGGGAAGGGATGATGGGGGAGTGGGATGATGGGGGAGTGGGGGAAGGGATGATGGGGGAGTGGGGGAAGGGATGATGGGGGAGTGGGATGATGGGGGAGTGGGGGAAGGGATGATGGGGGAGTGGGGGAAGGGATGATGGGGGAGTGGGATGATGGGGGAGTGGGATGATGGGGGAGTGGGGGAAAGGAAGGATTGAGAGGGAATTGCAGAATGAGAGAAAGCGGGAGGCAATGAGAAGGTGATGAGAGCAGTTGCCAATGCATGGAAGACAGCACTAGCTGGATGCAAGACAGCACTAGCTGGATGCAAGACAGCACTAGCTGGATGCAAGAGGGCCATGGCTGGATGCAAGAGGGCCATGGCTGGATGCAAGAGGGCCATGGCTGGATGCAAGAGGGCCATGGCTGGATGCAAGAGGGCCATGGCTGGATGCAAGAGGGCCAAGGCTGTGTTGCGGGAGTGAAGATAGCAAGTCTCAAGTGCTGTCATGAAGGGGAAAGGGGGGGAAGGGGCAGTGAGGGGGGCAGGGAGCATGCAAGCGCACATGAGCGCTCACCTCCTCCCCCATGCGGGACCTGGGGTCTCCCATCTCGCCCACTGCTGCAGCACCGCCGCTGCCAGCCTGTGCCCGCCGCCCCTTCACCAGCAGCACCAGGTGCCGGCCCCCCCTGCCCTCCCCACCTACACCCGCTCCCATTGCGCTCCCCACCGCCTTCCGCCCCCCACCCCCCCCTGCAGCGACTGCACCATGCCCCCCTCGCCGCCTCCCCCTCATGGCTCGCAGGGACGGGCGGGAAGGGTCTGCTGTGGGGGAGGAGAGGAGAGCAGAACGGAGCAGCGGAGGGAGTACAGTCATTAATGGAGGTCAGAAGTGAGTGTACGATATAGGGAAGAGAGGCGAATAGAGAAGGAAGCTAGAAGGGAAAAAAAAAGATCATAACTGGGCAGAAGTGAGGACGACGGGAGCGCAAGGAGAATTGGAAAAAGGGAGGAAGGAGGAAAGATGGCAAAGAGAAAACTCTGATGAGGAATGGCACGTAGGGGGGAGATACGATACAGGGACGCACACGCACTTGGTACGTACGACACACCTCACTCGCACCATGCCACATGGCATTTCCCATGCAACCACTCGCACCATGCCACATGGCATTTCCCATGCAACCACTCGCACCATGCCACATGGCATTTCCCATGCAACCACGCAAGCCACACACGTGCATGCCACATACATGCTCCATGCATGCTGTATGCATGCCCCATGCACGCCACATGCACGCCAGATGCATGCCCCCATGCTGCCTGCCACAGCACATGCATGCCCCATGCACGCCGCATGGGCACAGACCTGCTATCCTTATCCTCGCATGGGCACAGACCTGCTATCCTTATCCTCGCATGGGCACAGACCTGCTATCCTCGCATGGGCACAGACCTGCTATCCTCGCATGGGCACAGACCTGCTATCCTCGCATGGGCACAGACCTGCTATCCTCGCATGGGCACAGACCTGCTATCCTCGCATGGGCACAGACCTGCTATCCTCGCTGCCACTCGCAGCGGCCAGAAGTTGCCGCCACACAGCCGCAGCTCCCTCAGCTGATGGGAGTGGGGGAACGGGGAGGGAAGGATGGGGCGGAGAGAGAGGGAGGCAGAACGTGAGGCGGTAGGTGGGGGCAGCAGGGAGAGGGAAGGATGGGGTGACATGGCAGCAGGCAGCAGAAGAGGCATGGCAGCGTGGCATAGTGAGTTGGATGGCATGTGTACATCCCATGTGTGCTTGCTTCCCAGTGCTGCCTTTCTCCAACACCTGAGGCAAGAGCAGCACCTGAAGCCAGTGGAGAGAGCACCTGAGGCAGCGGCGGCAGCAGGCACGGCGTGTGCAGCGACAGCGCGGTTGGAGTGGATGAGTCAGAGGACTTGAGGGTGAGGTGCAGTAGAGCAATGACAGGCTGCCACGTGTCCACGTCCACAGCCTCCACGAACGCCCTCTCCTCCACCGCCAGCACCCAGAAGTGCCGCAACGCCTGCATGGTGGGGGGGGGGGAGAGGAGACGGGGGAATGGGGAGGAGGACGAGAGGGGAGGGGGACGAGAGGGGTGAGGGGTGAGGAAGGCAGACAGGTGTGAGAGGGGAAGAAGGGAAAGCATTGTTAGCAATGTACCTTAAAGTTCTAATCTGACTCTATCGCTCAAGCCTCCCTATTCCAGGGGCTGAGAGGTGAGAGCTCCAACCCTAACAGCACGTCAGGGCCATAAGATTGGCAGGGCAGTTGGTGCACCCGGAAAATTTCAAGCGACAGCAGCTGAGCCAAATAGTAATAACCCCCTCCCTCCCTCCTTGCCTTTTCTTCATGAATTGACAATCCCCACCTAGTGCCCTTGTTTTGTGACAAAACGACTGCCCCATACCCCCCTGCTCTCCCCCTGCTCCCTCGTTTCCTTGTTTCGCTTTCTCTCGTCCACCTCCTCTACTTCGCAAACTCCTTTCACAGCCGGCTGTCGCCTGTCCTTCCACGCACACCACACAACTGCCGCACGGCACAGCACACAGCTGCCGCACGGCACAGCAAGGAGCAGCTTACCTGCAGGTGGCAGCGGTGGTCGGCGGGCGAGGAGGGGAAGTGCGGGAAGAGCGCGAGCAGCAGCGCCGCCACAGCAGGGGGCGACGTGGAGAAGGTGGCCTGGCAGGCACTCAGGCCCAGGAAACCAATCGCCATGCTCACCTAGAAAAAGGGGAGGGGAGGGGAGGGGAGGGGAGGGGAGGGGAGGGGAGGGGAAGGGAGGGGAGGGGAGGGGAGGGGAGGGGAGGGGAGGGGAGGGGAGGGGAGGGGAGGGGAGGGGAGGGGAGGGGAGGGGAGGGGAGGGGAGGGGAGGGAAGGGTAGGGGAGGGGAGGGAAGGGGAGGGGAGGGGAGGGGAGGGGATGGGAGAGGAGGGGAGGGGAGGGGAGGGGAGGGGAGGGGAGGGGACGGGACGGGAGGGGAGGGGAGGGGACGGGAGGGGAGGGGACGGGAGGGGAGAGGAGGGGAGGGGAGGGGAGGGGAGGGGAGGGGAGGGGAGGGGAGGGGAGGGGGATGGGATGGGAGGGGAGGGGAGGGGAGGGGAGGGGAGGGGATGGGATGGGAGGGGAGGGGAGGGGAGGGGACGGGAGGGGAGGGGACGGGAGGGGAGAGGAGGGGAGGGGAGGGGAGGGGAGGGGAGGGGAGGGGAGGGGAGGGGAGGGGAGGGGAGGAGAGGGGAGGGGAGGGGAGGGGAGGGGTCTATGGAGATGTCTGAAAAGGTGCCGTGGAGAAGGTGACCTGGCAGGCGCTAAGGCCCAGGAAGCCGATCGCCATGCTCACTTGGGGAGGAGAGGGGGAGGAGAGGGGGAGGTGGAGTTACAATTGGAGGTGGCAGGATATTGGGAGAGGGAAGGATTGAAGGAAGTGAGGGGAAGGGAGGAGCAGGGGCAGCAGCGGTACATTTGCAGTCTCAGATGCTGCTGGCCGCCTCTGGCCCATCCCATGCACGAGCTCATCACAATGCAACCCACGACTGCCATGCAGCATACAGCCATGCAGCATACAGCCATGCAGCATACAGCCATGCAGCATACAGCCATGCAGCATCCCCACAGGGCAGCATACCGCCATGTGCGAGCCATAGGTGGTGGCGGCGTTGACAGCAGCGGCATCGGCAGCAGCAGCGGTGCGACGGTGGAAGAATCGTAACAAACGCAGCGACGGCAGATGGCCCGTGCCTGCCATGACCTGGTGCGCCGGGGAGAAAGGGGGAGGAGTTGAGTGGGAGGTGAGGGAAGTGGTTACGAACAGAGATGGAAGAAAAGAATATGAGAAGAAAACATGGAGAAATGGCAGGAGCAAGAGCGTGTTGCGAGAAGGAAGGTTGGGCTGGGGAGAACAGCAAAGTGTAGGAGGGCGAGGGAGAGCAGAATGAACGAAGGAGGGCAGAGTGAAGGAGAGGCAGTAGAGCGTACGAGGGAGAGGGAGAGCACGGCAGCGTTGACAGCGGTGTCGAGGGTGCGCGCGTCCAGCAGTGCCCGCCAGTGCAGCAGCGGCACGGCGAACGGGCAGGCCACGGCCGTGAGGGGCCGGCGCTGCAGGGAGAGGGAGATGGGGTGAGGGAGATGGGAAGGGAAGGGAAGGGAAGAGCAGAGAGTGAATGCGCCACACGTGAGAGTGCTTCTTTGAGTCACATAATGTGGAATATCCATCTTGGCACCACCTTCTCTGCCTACGGCCGCCCGCCTCCCTCCCTCCACTGCCCTCGTCCCAAGCGCCACCAACCTCTCTGTGTGCTTCTGACCTCGCGGAGGAAGAAGAAGAGCAGCACATAGCGCCGGAGAAGCTTCTCCGCCTCGCCATTGGCTGAACCCGCATAGCGCAGCCCTGAGGGGCGCACAGAGGCGGGGAGACAGATGGGGGTCAGAACGAAATAGCCAAGGACGGAAGCGGATGGAGTGAAGTCACATGGGAAAGCAGAAGGATGGGGGCGAGGATATGACAGTGGGGGGACATGCAGTGGTGGATGGAGGGGGGTGTGAGGGTGAAGCGGCACATGCTGATTTCCTGCGCTGCGCGCTTTGAATCAAACCTTCCGTACCTTCTCTATCCCCACACTCTTCCTGCCTCACTAGACTCAGCCCGCCCAGCTGCCAGGCACCCAGGGCAATGGCATGGGTCAACTCACCGAGCGCCAGGCAGCACCCCGCCAGCACGTTGCACAGCGCCAGAGCCATCGCCTCCTCATCCACATCCGCCTCCCCCTCCCCCCCCCCCTCCCCCCCCCCCTCCCCTCCCCGCTTCCCCACGCCCCGCCCCTCCTCATCCTCCCCCTCACTCCCCCCTTCGCCCCTTCCCCCGGTGGCGGCCGCAGCGGCACGGATGATGCCCGGCACCTGTGCTGCCACCCACTCGTCTGACGGCCGCACGCTGCAGTGGAGGGAGGGGAGCGGAGGAAAGGAACTTGGTGGGAATGGGATCTAGGGATGTGGGATGGAAGAGGTTGACCCAAGGGGAGGAGGAAAGAAAGAAGGGCTTTTTGGGCAGAAAAGCTAAAAGATTCTTCGTTTTTCCCAACCACTCCTTGACTGAATCACTCTACTCTACCTATTTATTCCCCATCCCTACCCCCACTAGTCTCACACTTGTACCGATTACAACCCTTCCACTCCAAACGCATGTCCTTCAAAAGCGCCAGCTCTTCCAAGTTCCACCACGAGGCTTGAGGATGAGCGCACCTGTCCCAGAGGATGAGCGCACCTGTCCCAGAGGATGAGGGAGCACGCGAGGACGCGCAGGAGGATGAAGTCGGGGCGCACAAACTCGAGGGCGAAGTGCGTTGCTGGCGGGGCCAGGCGCGCCGCCACCGCCTCGTTGTTCGACTGCCGGGGTGCGCGTCGGTGGGGGGGATGGATGGCCGGCAGGGAGGATGGGTTACAGGGGAAGGGATGACGGTGGGGGGGGGGGGTTGGGGAGGAAGAAGGAAATTGTACAAGAGGGGAGCAAGCGTACAGAGGGAGCTGCCTTTTGGATGCCTTTAACACTGAATGGAGAAATTTGTTTACAACCAAAGGAGCAGGAGCCCACCTGAAGGTACATCATGGCAAGGGCGAGAATTGCTCCTGGTGCCGTAACATCCACGTTGGGTGTGTTGCCCTCCAGCACCTGTTGGTCCGGTGAAGTGCGGTGGCACCCCATGATGGCGGCAAGGGCATGCATGCATGCATAGTTAGAAGGACTTGTTAAGGTAGCTGTCTTGGGTGTAATGCGGGTGAACCAACACCCTGTTCGTGGTGAACGAACACCCTGTTCGTGGTGAACGAACACCCTGTTCGTGGTGAACGAACACCCTGTTCGTGGTGAACGAACACCCTGTTCGTGGTGAACGAACACCCTGTTCGTGGTGAACGAACACCCTGTTCGTGGTGAACGAACACCCTGTTCGTGGTGAACGAACACCCTGTTCGTGGTGAACGAACACCCTGTTCGTGGTGAACGAACACCCTGTTCGCGGTGGACGAACACCCTGTTCGTGGTGAACCAACACCCTGTTCGTGGTGAACCAACACCCTGTTCGTGGTGAACGAACACCCTGTTCGTGGTGGACGAACACCCTGTTCGTGGTGAACGAACACCCTGTTCGTGGTGAACGAACACCCTGTTCGTGGTGAACGAACACCCTGTTCGTGGTGAACGAACACCCTGTTCGTGGTGAACGAACAGGTGGACGAACACCCTGTTCGTGGTGAACGAACACCCTGTTCGTGGTGAACGAACACCCTGTTCGTGGTGGACGAACACCCTGTTCGTGGTGAACGAACACCCTGTTCGTGGTGAACGAACACCCTGTTCGTGGTGAGCGAACACCCTGTTCGTGGTGAACGAACACCCTGTTCGTGGTGAACGAACACCCTGTTCGTGGTGAACGAACACCCTGTTCGTGGTGAACGAACACCCTGTTCGTGGTGAACGAACACCCTGTTCGTGGTGAACGAACACCCTGTTCGTGGTGGACGAACACCCTGTTCGTGGTGGACGAACACCCTGTTCGTGGTGGACGAACACCCTGTTCGTGGTGGACGAACACCCTGTTCGTGGTGAACGAACACCCTGTTCGTGGTGGACGAACACCCTGTTCGTGGTGAACGAACACCCTGTTCGTGGTGAACGAACACCCTGTTCGTGGTGAACGAACACCCTGTTCGTGGTGAACGAACACCCTGTTCGTGGTGAACGAACACCCTGTTCGTGGTGAACGAACACCCTGTTCGTGGTGAACCAACACCCTGTTCGTGGTGAACCAACACCCTGTTCGTGGTGAACCAACACCCTGTTCGTGGTGAACGAACACCCTGTTCGTGGTGAACGAACACCCTGTTCGTGGTGAACGAACACCCTGTTCGTGGTGAACGAACACCCTGTTCGTGGTGAACGAACACCCTGTTCGTGGTGGACGAACACCCTGTTCGTGGTGGACGAACACCCTGTTCGTGGTGGACGAACACCCTGTTCGTGGTGGACGAACACCCTGTTCGTGGTGAACGAACACCCTGTTCGTGGTGGACGAACACCCTGTTCGTGGTGAACGAACACCCTGTTCGTGGTGAACGAACACCCTGTTCGTGGTGAACGAACACCCTGTTCGTGGTGAACGAACACCCTGTTCGTGGTGAACGAACACCCTGTTCGTGGTGAACGAACACCCTGTTCGTGGTGAACCAACACCCTGTTCGTGGTGAACCAACACCCTGTTCGTGGTGAACCAACACCCTGTTCGTGGTGAACCAACACCCTGTTCGTGGTGAACCAACACCCTGTTCGTGGTGAACCAACACCCTGTTCGTGGTGAACGAACACCCTGTTCGTGGTGAACGAACACCCTGTTTGTGGTGAACGAACACCCTGTTCGTGGTGAACGAACACCCTGTTCGTGGTGAACGAACACCCTGTTCGTGGTGAACCAACACCCTGTTCGTGGTGGACGAACACCCTGTTCGTGGTGAACGAACACCCTGTTCGTGGTGAACGAACACCCTGTTCGTGGTGGACGAACACCCTGTTCGTGGTGGACGAACACCCTGTTCGTGGTGGACGATCACCCTGTTCGTGGTGAACGAACACCCTGTTCGTGGTGAACGAACACCCTGTTCGTGGTGAACGAACACCCTGTTCGTGGTGAACGAACACCCTGTTCGTGGTGAACGAACACCCTGTTCGTGGTGAACGAACACCCTGTTCGTGGTGAACCAACACCCTGTTCGTGGTGAACCAACACCCTGTTCGTGGTGAACCAACACCCTGTTCGTGGTGAACCAACACCCTGTTCGTGGTGAACGAACACCCCTGTTCGTGGTGAACGAACACCCTGTTCGTGGTGAACGAACACCCTGTTCGTGGTGAACGAACACCCTGTTCGTGGTGAACGAACACCCTGTTCGTGGTGAACGAACACCCTGTTCGTGGTGAACGTACACCCTGTTCGTGGTGAACCAACACCCTGTTCGTGGTGAACCAACACCCTGTTCGTGGTGAACCAACACCCTGTTCGTGGTGAACCAACACCCTGTTCGTGGTGAACGAACACCCTGTTCGTGGTGAACGAACACCCTGTTCGTGGTGAACGAACACCCTGTTCGTGGTGAACGAACACCCTGTTCGTGGTGAACGAACACCCTGTTCGTGGTGAACGAACACTCTGTTCGTGGTGAACGAACACCCTGTTCGTGGTGAACCAACACCCTGTTCGTGGTGAACCAACACCCTGTTCGTGGTGAACCAACACCCTGTTCGTGGTGAACGAACACCCTGTTCGTGGTGAACCAACACCCTGTTCGTGGTGAACGAACACCCTGTTCGTGGTGAACGAACACCCTGTTCGTGGTGAACGAACACCCTGTTCGTGGTGAACGAACACCCTGTTCGTGGTGAACGAACACCCTGTTCGTGGTGAACGAACACCCTGTTCGTGGTGAACGAACACCCTGTTCGTGGTGAACGAACACCCAGCACTGGAACTTGGTACACCAACAGTGTACGTGGCAGCCGCTTGTTGTGAGTGGCACCCACACCACCAACCAACCGCCTGGCTGATTGTCCTAGGCACTGATGTTCCTCTGGCTTGTACGGCTCGCTTGCCCTCTGAGGCTGATGCAACCCTTCTAGACTGATCAAGTTCTCTATCAGACGGCATTGACCATGTATGTATGCTGCAAACTGCACATTGCATGGGGGACATGGCACAACGGAGGTGCGGCAAGCAAACTCACATGGCCGCTGCTGCTGGCAGTGGCACCCGGCCACTGCCCCATGCCCCCCGCCTTGCCCCCTGCCGCCCCCCCTCCCCCCCAACTCCACTCCGCCTGCCCTGCTGCTCCCTGCTGCCCCTGCTGCTGCCGCGAGGAAGGGAGAGCAAGGGGTGAGGGAGGAGAAGGTGGGGAGGTGTTACGAGAGAGAAGGAGAAGAGAGGATGGAAACAAGGTCTGCGTGAAAGCTATGGGAAAGATGAGGAAGAAGTGACTGAGGAGACGAATGAGCAAGAAAAGGGTGATGCGAGGAGCAGAAGAGTTGGCAGGAGGAGGCACATACGGAGGGGTCGAGAGCGGGAGAGAAGTAGCGTTGCAGGCGGTCCTCCATGCGCAGGTCCCACAGCCCCCACGCCCTCCCCGCCGTTCCTGCATGCACCCATGGGTAATGGGGGCAGGAGGGAGGGTACAGGAGAGAAGCAGAGGCGACAACATGAAAAGACAGGAGGCAGCAGATGTGTACCAGACAGGGTTGGATTGAGACAGCAACAGAGGAAACCACCCAATGTGTCGGACACGCGTTGCGAGATACGATGTACATGCCATCCCATCTCACAACTACCCCGTGGCAGCAGCGTACCGAGGGTGACTAGCCCCAGTGCGAGGCCAGCTCCCAAAGAATACCCCTCCCTCTCCATGCTGCCCTCCCCCTCTGGCTTGCGCCCTATCTCGTCCTGGCATGGCGGGGAGAGGGCGAAGGGAGAGAAAGAGGTGAGAGGGCGAGGGAGATGCGCATGGGGATGAACATGGTGGAAGGCGAGAGAAGGGGGAGAGAGAGGGAAGTGAACAAGAAGGCTGAGGGTTGAAGGTGGGAGCAGGAGAGAGAGGTGGAGGGTGGAGCTTCCCTCAGCATGCGTGCAGCCCATAGTCCACATGCTGGGGAGCGACGAACATGCACTAGCGTGGAGCAGTACGGGGAGATGGAATGGCAATGATAGCAAATGCCGAGAAGTCAGTTTAGGGCATGGCCAGGGCAAATCTTTGCTTGTCCCACGTGAAGGCATCAGCGCAAGCAAGCGGAGCTCACGAGCAAGATTTCGGTGGTGAGGCGGTGCGCCGACCCCATGTGCAGCAGCCCCACGCCCACCAGCGCTGCCGTCTGTGCCGTGACAGGGCGCAAGAGGGGGAAGGTGCAGAGAGCAAAGGGCAGCAAGTGGTGGATGGAGCAGAAAGAGAACGAGCAACCGGGCAGCAGTGGATCATATCTATGAGAGGAAGCAGAGTGAGTACTCAAGGAAGGAGAGAAAAGGTGGAGGGAGAAGGGACAAGGATTCAGAGGCACATGAAGAAGGGAGAAAAAAATGGCACGTAGATGGTGGGAGAAAAAGAGTGGATGCGAGGGGGGTGATGGATGAAGTACCTGGATGCTGGGAGGGAGCTCGAGGTCGGGGAAGGACGGAGGGTGGCGCGAGGGGATGTGCAGATAGAGCATCTGAGGGTGGGAGGGGGGGGGTGCAGAGAGGAATAAGAGAGGAGCGGAGATTCGTGTCCCATGCAAGATCATGAGCTGGAATAGATTGAATGGATAATAGAAACCAGGGATTAATAAGTGCAACAAGAAAGGGTTGAAAATGATGGACAGGGAATTGGGGCAATCCCTAATGGGATCACTGGAGATTTCCAACGGCTGGAAACTTTGTGATTACATCTGGGTGTGGTGAGGTTGGGTTATGCGACACACCCAACCTGAGAAAACTTTGTGATTACACCTGGGCAGTGCACCTTGCTGATGGCTTGGCAGTGCACCTTGCTGATGGCTTGGCAGTGCACCTTGCTGATGGCTTGGCAGTGCACCCAGCTTGCAGATAGTGGCATCCATGGTAGAGCGGTATGATATGATGCAACGGCACTCAACAGGATGACATGACATAACAAGGCACGACGAGAGAACGCTACTGGAAAGAGATGAAGCACCTTGCACACGGCATGACAGCACCCCTCACCTTGCAGATATTGGCATCCATGGTGGCCCGGTACGATGCAGCAGCGCCCAGCAGCACGCCCACCGTCGTTGCCTCGTGCTCCTGGGGATTGTGGGGAAGGGGGAAGGAGGGAGGGGGGAAGGAGGTAGGGTGGGTGGGTGGAGGGGCTACGAAGTGAGGAGCACTGTGAATCGTGAGGGGTAATACAAGCAGGCGGTGCTACAACACCATGAAACAGAAAAGTGGGGAGGGGAAAGCACGAGGGCAGGGAGGGGAGGGGACAAGGGCGAGCACATGCGGGGGATAGCGGGGAGAGTGGGCGGGGAACGCACGAGGGCGAGGTCACGGAAGAAGTCGGTGGGGGCGAGCACACGCAGGTGGCCGCGCAGCCCCAGCGCCATGAGCAACCCCCCATGTGCACTCGAGGCCTCCCCTGGCCGGTTGTACACCACCCACGCACGTGTGACTGTGCCCGGCTGGTAAGGGTTGGAAGGGGCAGGGAGAGGCAGGGATGGGCAGGGAGGGGCAGGGATGGAGCTTTTGAGTCGACTCAAAAGAGCAGCACCACGCCGTGTGCACTGTTTGCCTCCACTGGCCGGTTGTACACCACCCATACCCGCGTCACCGCGTCTGGCTGTGAGGGAGGGGGTAAGGGAGAGAGGCACGGGTGGGGATGAATGCTTGTAATGAGGATAAGTTGCGGAGGGATGGAATGCGAAAAAGGGATGCGAGGTGTCAGCGGGCTGTGCGAGTTGAGGGCGAGCGTTGAGGGGACGGGAGCATGGCAGCTGGCGATCACATGAGCAGGACAACAGCACGGCACACCAGTAGGAGAGAGAGCCGGCGAGGTGAGGTGCGGTGAGGTGATGTGAGGTGAGGTGAGGTGAGGTGAGGTGAGGTGATGTGAGGTGAGGTGAGGTGATGTGATGTGAGGTGGTGTGAGGTGATGTGAGGTGATGTGAGGTGATGTGAGGTGATGTGAGGTGATGTGAGGTGATGTGAGGTGAGGTGATGTGAGGTGAGGTGAGGTGAGGTGATGTGATGTGAGGTGATGTGAGGTGATGTGAGGTGATGTGAGGTGATGTGAGGTGATGTGAGGTGATGTGAGGTGAGGTGATGTGAGGTGAGGTGAGGTGATGTGATGTGATCTGAGGATGTGAGGTGATGTGAGGTCACTCACGGGCACACGGGCGAGCTTGAGGCCGGCTGCCACTCCATTGTGGAACTCCGGCCACGTGGCGAGCTCTGATAGGTTGCCCAGCGTGCCGTCCAGCCCCACCTGGAGGAGAGAGCGAGTGAGGCACAATGGCGGGCGGGGAGAGGGGTCGAAGAGGACGGTGCTAAGCTGCCGCAGCACGCAGGGAAGCAGGCTTCAACCTAAGAGCCAACACTTGAGGTGCACAGAGATGACGACTTAAAAGAGAGGCGTCATCATCTTGGTTGCATGAGAGGTGGCGGCGGCATGAGAGGGTGATGGCAGCGACTCTGCTCTATTCCCGCATGCCCTGCTGCACTGCACCCACCGTGGCGTCGTTCTGCGCCGTCAAACGCCCCGCCAGCACCAGCTTGGGCACCGACAGGGCCTGCAGGGGGTTAGAAGCAGCAGGCACACAGACACACAGACACACAGGCACACAGGCACACAGGCACACAGGCACACAGGCACTCACACACACAGACACACAGGCACACAGGCACTCAGACACACAGACACACAGGCACACAGGCACTCACACACACAGACACACAGGCACACAGGCACTCAGACACACAGACACACAGGCACACAGGCACTCAGACACACAGACACACAGGCACACAGGCACTCACACACACAGACACACAGGCACACAGGCACTCAGACACACAGACACACAGGCACACAGGCACTCAGACACACAGACACACAGGCACACATGCACACAGGCAGATAGGCACACAGGCACTCAGACACACAGGCATACAGGCACACAGGCACTCACACACACAGACACACAGGCACACAGGCACTCAGACACACAGACACACAGGCACACAGGCACTCAGACACACAGGCACACATGCACACAGGCACTCAGACACACAGACACACAGGCACACAGGCACTCAGACACACAGACACACAGGCACACAGGCACTCAGACACACAGACACACAGGCACACAGGCACTCAGACACACAGGCACACAGGCACTCAGACACACAGGCACACAGACACACAAACACACAGGCACACAGGCACTCAGACACACAGACACACAGGCACACAGGCACTCAGACACACAGACACACAGGCACACAGGCACTCAGACACACAGACACACAGGCACACAGGCACTCAGACACACAGGCACACAGGCACTCAGACACACAGACACACAGGCACACAGACACACAAACACACAGGCACACAGGCACTCAGACACACAGACACACAGGCACACAGGCACTCAGACACACAGACACACAGGCACACAGGCACTCACACACACAGACACACAGGCACACAGGCACTCAGACACACAGACACTCAGGCACACAGGCACTCACACACACAGACACACAGGCACACAGGCACTCAGACACACAGACACACAGGCACACAGGCACTCAGACACACAGACACACAGGCACACAGGCACTCAGACACACAAACACACAGGCACACAGGCACTCAGACACACAGACACACAGGCACACAGGCACTCAAACACACAGACACACAGGCACACAGGCACTCACACACACAGACACACAGGCACACAGGCACTCAGACACACAGACACACAGGCACACAGGCACTCAGACACACAGACACACAGGCACACAGGCACTCACACACACAGACACACAGGCACACAGGCACTCAGACACACAGACACACAGGCACACAGGCACTCAGACACACAGACACACAGGCACACATGCACACAGGCAGATAGGCACACAGGCACTCAGACACACAGACACACAGGCACACAGGCACTCAGACACACAGACACACAGGCACACAGGCACTCAGACACACAGACACACAGGCACACAGGCACTCAGACACACAGACACACAGGCACACAGGCACTCAGACACACAGACACACAGGCACACAGGCACTCAGACACACAGACACACAGGCACACAGGCACTCAGACACACAGGCACACAGGCACACAGGCACTCAGACACACAGACACACAGGCACACAGGCACTCGCACACACAGACACACAGGCACACAGGCACTCAGACACACAGACACACAGGCACACAGGCACTCAGACACACAGACACACAGGCACACAGGCACTCAGACACACAGACACACAGGCACACAGGCACTCAGACACACAGACACACAGGCACACAGGCACTCAGACACACAGACACACAGGCACACAGGCACTCAGACACACAGACACACAGGCACACAGGCACTCAGACACACAGGCACACAGGCACACAGGCACTCAGACACACAGGCACACAGGCACACAGGCACTCAGACACACAGACACACAGGCACACAGGCACTCACACACACAGACACACAGGCACACAGGCACTCACACACACAGACACACAGGCACACAGGCACTCAGACACACAGACACACAGGCACACAGACACACAGGCACTCAGACACACAGACACACTGGCACTCAGACACACAGGCACACAGGCACACAGGCACACAGGCACACAGGCACTCAGACACACAGAGACACAGGCACACAGGCACTCACACACACAGACACACAGGCACACAGGCACTCACACACACAGACACACAGGCACACAGGCACTCAGACACACAGACACACAGGCACACAGGCACTCAGACACACAGACACACTGGCACTCAGACACACAGGCACTCAGACACACAGGCACACAGGCAGATAGGCACACAGGCAGATAGGCACACAGGCAGATAGGCACACAGGCAGATAGGCACACAGGCAGATAGGCAGCCATGCAACCAGGAAGAGAGGCAGAGGCGCAGACATTATTGTGAAGGAAAGAAGTTGGTGGTTGGGATCTCGGCCAGGATAATTGGTCCGCACCAATATACTAAGTTGGATGAATCAGTGGGGGGTTTGGTCTGAGGGAGTCAAAATATTTGCCCCCTGAATGGTTTACCAACCCAACCTTTGAGCAGAACAGTTCAACTCCCCAACCCGACTATGGTGAAACCTAACTGCACACCCAAACGAAGTGCCTAAACGTGTACACGAATCGTAGTAGATGCAGGATAAAATAATCATTAGCTTCTGACAAAGTGCCCATGCCATAGAAAAAAATCGGTGGGGTAGGGTGCAGTGCGGGAATCAGGCGCAAGGCAGGTGGCCTGGGTGAGGGCGGGGCAAGGCAGGGCAGCAGGCGTGCCTGGGTGAGGGCGGGGCAAGGCAGGACAGCAGGCGTGCCTGGGTGAGGGTGGGGCAAGGCAGGACAGTAGGCGTGCCTGGGTGAGGGTGGGGCAAGGCAGGACAGTAGGCGTGCCTGGGTGAGGGTGGGCGGGGCGGTGGCGAAGGTGAAGGCAGCCCGGCCCAGCGGTAGCGCCACCGTGCGATGCGCCACCTGCCATAGCCGCGCCTGATGGGGGGAAGAGTAGAGTGAAGTGGCATAAGGATGATGCGATGAGCAGCAAATGATGGCGGGAAAAGGGGGAGGAGGAGTGGGGGCGTAGCAGGACACAGGAATGGGCATGGGCAGAAAGGAAAGGAGCAGGTGGTATGGAGCATGACACTTTCGATGCCGCTGATGCCAAGGCAAGGAGGAAAGGGGGACGAGTGGGATTTCACTAGCTTCACTACGAGGGGCACCTGGTGGGCGGCGAGTGGCACCTGGTGGGCGGCGAGGGGCACCTGGTGGGCGGCGAGGGTTACGTGATGGGCAGCGAGGGGCACCTGGTGGACGGCAAGGGGCACCTGGTGGGCGGCGAGTGGCACCTGGTGGACGGCAAGGGGCACCTGGTGGGCGGCGAGTGGCACCTGGTGGACGGCAAGGGGCACCTGGTGGGCGGCGAGGGCGTCGGGGTCGGTGGAGTCAGAAGCAGCGGCGGCCGGCAGGGGCACTGGGCGCGCAGAGCACAGCAGGCGACGCACCTGGTGAGGCAGGGGAGGAAAAGGGAGAGGGGGACGAGGCAGGTTGAGAGGTGCCGCAATGTGGGTTGAGTGAGAGTGCAGGCAGAGCGGTGGAGAGGAAGGCGAGGCAGTCGGATAGGACGACGCAAGTAGACAGGGTCACGAATCACCATCCACAGTGATATCTCCGGCACCCACGTTGCCCACACAGTGATATCTCCGGCACCCACGTTGCCCACACAGTGATATCTCCGGCACCCACGTTGCCCACACAGTGATATCTCCGGCACCCACGTTGCCCACACAGTGATATCTCCGGCACCCACGTTGCCCACACAGTGATATCTCCGGCACCCACGTTGCCCACACAGTGATATCTCCGGCACCCACGTTGCCCACACAGTGATATCTCCGGCACCCACGTTGCCCACACAGTGATATCTCCGGCACCCACGTTGCCCACACAGTGATATCTCCGGCACCCACGTTGCCCACACAGTGATATCTCCGGCACCCACGTTGCCCACACAGTGATATCTCCGGCACCCACGTTGCCCACACAGTGATATCTCCGGCACCCACGTTGCCCACACAGTGATATCTCCGGCACCCACGTTGCCCACACAGTGATATCTCCGGCAACCACGTTGCCCACACAGTGATATCTCCGGCACCCACGTTGCCCACACAGTGATATCTCCGGCACCCACGTTGCCCACACAGTGATATCTCCGGCACCCACGTTGCCCACACAGTGATATCTCCGGCACCCACGTTGCCCACACAGTGATATCTCCGGCACCCACGTTGCCCACACAGTGATATCTCCGGCACCCACGTTGCCCACACAGTGATATCTCCGGCACCCACGTTGCCCACACAGTGATATCTCCGGCACCCACGTTGCCCACACAGTGATATCTCCGGCACCCACGTTGCCCACACAGTGATATCTCCGGCACCCACGTTGCCCACACAGTGATATCTCCGGCACCCACGTTGCCCACACAGTGCTATCTCCGGCACCCACGTTGCCCACACAGTGATATCTCCGGCACCCACGTTGCCCACACAGTGATATCTCCGGCACCCACGTTGCCCACACAGTGATATCTCCGGCACCCACGTAGCCCACACAGTGATATCTCCGGCACCCACGTTGCCCACACAGTGATATCTCCGGCACCCACGTTGCCCACACAGTGATATCTCCGGCACCCACGTTGCCCACACAGTGATATCTCCGGCACCCACGTTGCCCACACAGTGATATCTCCGGCACCCACGTTGCCCACACAGTGATATCTCCGGCACCCACGTTGCCCACACAGTGATATCTCCGGCACCCACGTTGCCCACACAGTGATATCTCCGGCACCCACGTTGCCCACACAGTGATATCTCCGGCACCCACGTTGCCCACACAGTGATATCTCCGGCACCCACGTTGCCCACACAGTGATATCTCCGGCACCCACGTTGCCCACACAGTGATATCTCCGGCACCCACGTTGCCCACACAGTGATATCTCCGGCACCCACGTTGCCCACACAGTGATATCTCCGGCACCCACGTTGCCCACACAGTGATATCTCCGGCACCCACGTTGCCCACACAGTGATATCTCCGGCACCCACGTTGCCCACACAGTGATATCTCCGGCACCCACGTTCCCCACCCACGCATGCTTCCCCCCCTCTTCACCCATGCACGGCTCACCTCAGCAAGACGAAGGTCACAGGGGAAGCGCAGGGCGAGCAGGGAGCGCGCGGGCGGCAGCAGCAGATGCTCCATGCCGTCCGCCACCATGCCCTCTCCCCCTGCGCCCTCCACTCCCGCCCCTCCCCCTCCCACCCCAGTCGCGTCCGATGCCCCCCCCACCCCCACTCCGCTGCCCGCCCCCGCCCCCATGCCCCCCACGCCCACCCCTGAGGCGGAGGCAAGGCCTTGAGTGGCGTGGGATCCGGGGAGGGCGAGAGAGGGGTGCAGGGCGGAGTGGGGGGACGAGGGGAAAGAGGAGAGCGAGCGCACGAGCACAGCGGGAGGGAAGGAGAAGGCGAGAGGCGAGAGGGAGTATGTGGAGTGCGGCGCTGCAGTGGTGCCGACTCTAGCACCGCTGAGGTGCTCGTTGTGAGGGGAGGGGCAGCGAGGCAGCAGCGAGTAGCGGAGGGAGAAGCAGCGCAGGCAGGCGGTGGCAGTGGCAGCCAGGTCGTCCCGCCCCACCAGCACGTATGCCGCTGCTGGCCACCCGGGTGGTGGGTTCTCCCTGCACACGTGCAGCGCCTGCAGGGTTGGGGAGGAGGAGAGTGCGGTGAGGTCGGACGTGGTGAAGAGAGGGGTTTTGGAAAACTAGGTACAGGAACAAGGGCACGGAAACCAGAGGACGAGGGGAAGCGCTGACGACAGCAATAATGGATGTGGCAAGGTGAGGAGCTGACCTGCAGCAGGGGCAGGGTGACGGCAGGGGGCAGCCTCTGAAGGTCAGATCGGCCCATGCGTGCCGCCACCATGGCTGCCACACACCGCTCACTCAACCCCGCCACACCATGCTCCCCTGCTACTGCCACCATGCCCCCGCCCCCACTCTCAGCCCCCGCTCCTGCATGTCCTCCTCCCCTATCACTGCCTGCCCTCCCGGCACTCTCTGCACTTCCCCCCACAGCCGGCTTCTGCCTGGCCTTAGAGGGCGCGCCGGCAGCAGGGCGGGTCCAGGCACCGCGGGGGAAGAGCAGCGAGAAGAGCCCCAGCACCGAGGGCAGCAGCCCACGCCCCCCTTCCCCCTCGCCCTCCCATTCCTCCCACCACTCGCCACCCTCCTGCACGCCCCTACCCTCCCTTGCTCCCTGCCCTCCTCTCGCCTCTCTGCCTCTCCCCTCCCCGCCCACCTCCCCTCCCACCAGAGTGGGCTGGGCAGCAGCGGACAGCAAGGAGGGCGGCATCCACGCCAGCCAAGGGGCGGCATGCTTTGGACCGTACTGCGCAGTGTGAGCCAACCAGGTGAAGACACACGGCACGACGGATGGCAGTGCAGGATGGGGGGGCAGTGTGCAGTGTGAGAGGAGGGAGGGGGAGGAGCGTGCAAGGAGGGCGAGGGCAGGGTGGTGGCGCTGGTAGTGGTCGCACAGGTCATGCGCGCCCAGCACTGCTGCCAGCACCCACACTAGGGCTGCCAGGGTAGGCAGCGAGCTGGGTAGATGGGGGGGCGTGGAGGAGGGGGGAACAGAAAGAAGAACAAGGTGGAGTGGAGTAAGCAGGGAGTGGGAGGAGAGGTTGTGATATTCAGCAACACTGGTGCAGCTGGGATGGCCCTGCACTGAGGCCTACAGACAGGCCAGCCCCACAGACAGGCCAGCCCCACAGCCAGGCCAGCCCCACAGCCAGGCCAGCCCCACAGACAGGCCAGCCCCACAGACAGGCCAGCCCCTCAGACAGGCCAGCCCCACAGACAGGCCGGCCCCACAGCATGGCAGCAACACCTCCCTCCCGCCCATGCGGCCACCCACCTGCGGCTGAGGCCATCAAGGCGGCTCTCCTCATACACGCCGTGCAGCGCCCGCAGCATCTCCACCAGCTCGCCCACCCCCACGCCCTCCCCGCCCACGCCCCACTCTCCTCCCACCTGCACGCCCTCCCCGTCCCCCCCTCTCTCCCCCCCAGGCCTCTTGGGCGTTGCAGCAATATTGGCAGCAGCAGGGCGAGCAGGAGTGGCATGGACGGTAGTGGGCAGTGACGGGAGGGGGAAGGGCATCCAGGGGGAAGCACCGGCGAGCAGCAGGTAGCGGTGGTGCTGGCTGCCCAGCAGCTGCTCCCATGCTGACTGCCCTGCCTCGCCCCCTCCCTCCCCACCTGCTGCTGCTTGACTCCCCTGGCCTGCACCTCCCTGTGCCCCCCTGCCTGCACTGCCTGTGTCGCCCTCACCATCCACCTCCATCGCCTCTGCGTCCTGCTCCCCTTCTCTCTCTCCCTCCTGCTTCCTCTCTCTTTCCATGTCCTGCGTGCCAGTGCCACTGCCACTGCCACTGCCAGTGCCAGTGCCAGTGCCAGTGCCAGTGCCAGTGCGAGCACCACCCCCCACCAGTGCCGCCTCAATCCACTCCTCCACCACACCCAGCAGCGTGCACCACTCCTCGCCCTCCCCTCCATCTGCACCATCAGCATCCCCACCAGCTGCGCCCACCAGCGCGCACAGCTTCACTAGCTCCACCCGCCGCCCCTCACCCGCCCCATCACCACTCTCCACACGCTCCCCTGCCTTCTGCTCCCCCCTGCGCTGCTGTTGCTGCAGCCGCCAGAGGCGCGGGGCAAGCAGGGCGCAGCGCAGGTCGTGGGAGAGGTGGCGGGAGAAGGGGCTTGCACGAATGGCAGTGAGACACCTGGCAGGCAGGTGGGCGGCAACTGCTAGCTTGACTTGGAAGCGATGCTCCTGGTGGCCGGTGGAGTGGGGGGAAGAGACGAGGAGAGAGGATAGGATGTGGAGGGAGATGAGCAGGTGAGGAGGCGAGGAGGGGAGGAGGTGAGGAGGTGAGGAGGTGAGGAGGTGGGTGAGGAGATGAAGGAGATGGGGAGGAAATACAGTGGCAGCGACAAAGCGAAGAGAGAGATTGATTGGGAGTGTAAAGGCAGGAGGAGGAGGGCTCACCTGGTTGTTGGGGAGAACAATGGACACACGGTCGCCCAGAGGGGCAGATAGGCGCAGGAGACACGTGGCGAGCTCTGATTGGTCCACATGAATGCCATGGTGGGCGAGGAAGGTGGTGCAGGGCGCCCACCAGAGCAGCAGAGGGCCGTGCTGTTGGGGGGGAGGAATAGGTGAGGTGAGAGCAAAGAGTTAAGGTGAGGGGATGAAAGGCACACAGCCGTCCGTGAAGGAAGAAGGTCTAGGGGTGGGGAGCCGCGTTGTGCGGTGCCATGCATGCATTGCCATAAGGACGCATTGTTGCCCCTTGAGTAGCATTTCGCACGGTGCTACAGGGCACGGTGCTACAGGGCACAGTGCTACAGGGCAGCGCTTGCCACCTACCATGTCATGCTGTCAGGCCTTTTTCAGGTGCCTGTGAGGTGCTCCAGTGATACATTGAGTGGTGCGTGTGTGGTACGAGGCAGTGGAAGCAAGGTGGCTGTGACGACCCACCATCAGCGTGAGCGAGCCATGCCGGTCCGCAACCAGGAGAAAGCGATTGATGCGGTGCAGAGGGGTGACGGGAGCTGTGTGGCTGGGATGAGAAGGGTGGCACGTGCGCGGGTGCACGATGGATGGCGCAGGGAGCAGAGGGGGGAGAGAAGGGGGGAGAGATGGAGGCGTTCAATCGTGCAGCACACGGCGCAAGGAGCCTGCAAGGCATGAGTGCAGCTCACAAGTGGCACATGAGCGCTTCATGCAGCTGCGCTGCGGCATGGGAAGGGTCTTGGCTGGTGGCAATGGCACGTGGATAGTGGAGCAAGCAGCCGTCCAATTCCCCCGGTGGACTTGAACTCATTTCAAGGAGTCTCGATGATTCAAGTTTCACAAACGCTACATGCCGGAAGGAAGGTGAGGCTGATGGGTGCAGAAAGCAACAATTTGATATACCTGGCTATTCGGCCACCAAGTGGTGAACAAGTGCGGAGTGACTCACCTCAGAGCCACAGCGGAGTGACTCACCTCAGAGCCACAGCGGAGACAGCCTCCACCGACCAGCAGCGCCGCCCCTCCATGTGCACCACCCTCCCCCTGCCCTCATCCCCGCCTCCCCCACTCCCCCCTTCCCCATCGGCCCTGCTCTCCTCCTCCTCCGCCTCCCCTTCGCCCGGACCGTCCCCTGCCCCCCCATACGCCACGTGTCGCACCCACACGCGCTGGCGGGCGGGTGAGCAGAAGGCAAGGGAGGCCGAGCCACGGGGGGGCGAGGGACTGAGGAGATGCGCGATGGCGGGAGGGAGTGAGGTGCGGTGGGGGCATGGAGAGGAGGGGGCGGGGGGAGAGGAGGGAAGAGGGGTGTGGGAGAGCAGCAGGACGTGGGAGGCCTTGTCCTGGCCTGTGAGGCCCGTCCACACACGAGACATGCGCACACACCACCCTCCGCCCTCTCCCTCCGGATCCCACCTCTCGCCTCCCGCCCTTGCCTCTGCAGCCACCCCATCCTTCTCCCCCGCCCCTCCCCCCCTTGCCTGCCCCTCCATGCTCTGCCGGAGGGTTCCCTCCTGTCCAGCTGCTGCTCTAACCCCCACCCCTCCAGCAGGCAACCCGTCCCCCCCACCCCCCGCGAAGCGACTCAGCTTCGCCGTTGCTGCCACGCCTGTCACGCCTCCCCTCCCCCGCCTTCCCCCACTGCCCACGCTGCCCCCACCATCCCCTCGCCCCGCCTGCAGCCTCAGATCGCCCACCATGCCCGCATCCCCACCCACACCCCCTCCTCTCCCTGCCGCCACACCCTCCTGGCCCCCCGCCCTCACCCCCCCCGCCCTCCCAGCAGCTGCAGCTGTTGCTGGAGACTCGGGGCTCAGCCCCGCAAGTAGCGGGTCCAGCTCTGCTGCTGACGTGGCGACAGGTGATTGGTGCAGGAAGCGGTGTGGGAGGTAGCGCAGGTGCCACACGGAGTGCTGGCGGCGGGCTGAGGGGGAAAGGGTTGTGTGTATGAGCAAAGGGGGAAGGCAGAGAGTAGATGGAGTGGTTGAGGACACAACGTGAGTACGAGTGATAAGGGGATGGAAGTTGAAAAGTGGTGGTTGGAGTAGTAGAGATGGAGTGGTGGAGCGGAGGCACATGAAGTTGCCAGCGAAAGGCGGGTTGCTTGGGTTGGGAGAGTGGCCAAGATTGGTTGATTTGGGTTGGGGGAATCAGTGGGGGGACAATATAGTTGTTCAATTTGAGAATTATTAGGGGTTGGCGAATTTCTCAACCAAACCATTTTGGGCAAAATAATTTGGGCCAAATTTGCAATCCCCTAGAAGAATGGTAAAGCTGAATTGTACACCCGAATAAAATAAAAAACAAAAAATCAAACAAAAACAAATCAGAAATAAACAAACAGGGGAGCAGGAAATGGCAGGGAGTGAGGATGCAATTAATGCAATGAGAAGGCGTGGAGGAGAGGGAGGGGCGTGACCGTGGTTGAAGGTGGCGAGCAGCGGCACCTCGGTGGACGACCAGAGCACCTCCTCGCCCCCTCCTCCCTGCTGCCATGGCGGCCCGCCCTCCATGCCCACCGGCTGGAAGGGAAGGGGTGGAGGGGAGAGAGTGGAGGCGTGCGTGCGTTGTGGGGAGTGCAGGGAAGAGTGGTGGAGGAGATATTGTGGGAGGAGGCGGAAGGGGTGATTGGAGGAGGTAACGGAGGGATAGAGGTGGAAGGTAAATGTTGTGTGGGGAGTGGGAATTGATGATGAAATATGACACTGGCCCATTTGCAACAGCACCAGCACCACCACTTGCACCCTCACCTGCAGTTCCTCATGAGCATGTGAGAGCGTGAAGCACCCTGCCTCCATGAAAGCACCCCCCATGTGCGCCCCACCCACTGCCCCATCCGCCCAGTCAGCAGCACCCATAGCGCCACCCGCTGCCCGCCCTGCCTGCCCGCCAGCTGCCCCACCAGCACCGGCGGTGGCGGCAGTGGCAGGAGCAGGCAGGGAGGGGGTGATGGCAGGCGCGTGGGGGGAGAGAGCCAGGAAGGGAATGGGGGAGGCGGGCGAGGGGAAGGGAGCAGTGGCAGCAGCGGGGATGGGGAAGGCAAAGGGAGGGGAGGGCGGAAACGGTGCGGCGGGGGAGGGGGCGAGGGGGTGGGTGGGGAGAGGTGTGGATGGGTGGAAGGCGTGTGTGTGTGCTGGCTGAGACGGCAGAGACGGCTGGGATGGCAGGGGCTGCAGCAGCAGGCCGATGGGGAGCGGCCAGAGGCGCGAGCAGGTGAAGGGCAGCGGCATCTCGTGCATGTCACCTGCATGCGGGACAGACAGGGCGCAGGGGGGCAGGGCGGGCAGGGAGGGCAGGGGGCAGGGCAGGCAGGGTGAGAGAGTTTGAAACAACGTGCAAGAAGGGTGGCGAGGGAACAGAGCAACGAGGGGTGCAGGGGGGGAGGGGAGAGGCGATTGACCGAAGGGGACCATAACAGCCACCACCCCATCGCTGCCACACGGGCGAGCAAAGAGGCCGCTTTGCCCATCAGCTTGACCCGTTGCATGTAGCTCGCCCCAGGCTTATCAACGAAGGTGGGCTCGGAGGGAGCATGAGTGACTGACCATTGGTGGCGGCGAGTGTGAGCCCATGCGCGTGCAGCAGCGCGAGCGATGAGAGCGACGCCTCCCCGTGCATTCGCACCCATGCTGCCTGCACTCATGGTCATGGGCAGAGGGCACACGCACGGATGGGCGGAGCGGAGGGAGGGGGAGAAGAGGAGGGCGGGGGACTGGGTAAGAATGGGATGTTAAGGGGGCGGGAGGGTGGAGTGAGATGTGGTGATGATGAGCAGCAATGCTGCTATACAGACACAGAGCCATGGCATGGGAGCAATGATCACCTGGGAGACGGCATGAGAAATGGCATGAGCGCAGCACCTGGGAGATGGCATGTGGTGTGGTGAGCTTCTTGCGCAGCACGCCCTCTGCACTCCACTCCACGCTGCTGCCCCCGCCCCGCCCCATGCGACCCCATGCCACGCAGCGAGTGGGGAGTGGGGGGAGGAGGAAGAGAGGGAGGGCACGGGAGGTGGGACAGACACGAAGGCAAAGGTAAAAAATATTGATCGCCCCTCCCTCCGGTTATGTTGGAGTTGCTTCTGAGAATTTTCACAAGCAACTCCAGCATCGGGAGTTGGGACAGACAAGGTGGCAGAGGTCAAACACATTGACCGCCCCTCCCCCTCTCCCCTCTTCTCTGTCCCTTCTCCACTCCGTCCTCGCTCTCTCTTCTCTCTGCTCTCTCTCCTCACTGCCTTCCCTCCTCTCCCCTCTCTGCCCGCTCTCTCCGTTCCGCCCATCAATCACTCGCTGCCCTTTCTGCTTCCCATTCATGCCCGCCACGCCTCGCCCTCATCCCGCTTCCTCGCCCCTCATCGAATAGATCCCAGCCGCATATTCCCATCGCTCTCCGCGCAACGATCTCCGCGCGCCACTCACCGCGCGCCCCTAACGGCCACCGTCTCCTCGCACGCGCCCCACAGCGCCGCCGCGTCGCCGCCGCCCGCCACCTGCCGGCCGTCGATCACTAGCGCGTCCCCCCGCGCCTCGTTCGCCAAAATCCGCGCCATTTGGACTGGATGTCCGGCCCTACATGCACCTGGGTCCACGCTAGATTTACCCGTGGTTGTCTAAACTCGTTCCACGAATGAAAGCGTTTCTCCACCAAAAACACGAAGCGGGCGAGCCTTGGGAGTGACGAATTCTGTGGCGAACAGTGTGATCATGTTGGGGGAAACATGTCGATCATCACTAAGAATAGCCTCTGTAACAGAGTTAAATTATCAAAAGGTTTACAATAACGGGTCTTTACAAAATGATTTTTTTTTAAACACCTGTTTTTGAGCCCAGACAAGTGAATGGGAAGTGCTTTGTCTTTAGCACCCCAAAATAATACGCGACGGGGTGGTGGGCAGAAGGGCGATAAGACGGGGAGGAGGTGGAGACCTGGGTTGCTCGACAGGATGAAAATTAGGATAATATTGTTAGAAACAAGTAACTTAAGCGCCTCTGTCGTGTCGAAGCACTAAGTTATAAGCGAAGCAAAACACAGCGAAGCATTGGCGAGTCAACCCTCGGAGGTTGAACAACTGCTGGAGGTTACACGAAAGTCAAAGGTCAGCGACCTTTGACCTGACAAGTACAGCGCGACAGCAAGGACAAACAACTGACTCGTTATTGAGCAGTTGCCCGAGTCGTCACTGTATCGAACCGCAACAGCAACAGCAAAACAGTTATTATTTATAACCCTTCATATTCCCTTGTACTCTTATAAAAGCTTGTATCTCTTTGTTTCAATCAATCTACTTTGCCCTCGCATACCAGCGCAAGGTGGTTCACAGACTTATCATTAAACGCTTCCGCTATTACATTGTCCTGCTCAGAATTTAATCCTGCAAAGATCCTAAGGGCTTTTCTCAGCCCAACATGGTATGAGAGCTATCAGGACAAATTCAACTACAATCAAGACTTCTACAACATCACAAGGCATGGCAACGCAGAAGGAGAGAAGCTCCTGTAACGGCTCTCCCGGTACTACTCCTACTCCACCTCCTGCATCTGGCCTACAGACAGAGGAGGGCACAGCAACAAGACCGGCAGCTGGGTCTACCGAAACTCCCGCAAATCAAGCCGCGGGCTTCGACCCGGACATGATGGAGAAATTCTTCTCCTTCATGTCCTTCTACGAACAACACCAGCAAGGGGCACCTGCGCAGTCAAACAACAACAACAACAACAACGTGACACCGATGAGCCTTGACGGTTCATCCTACGCAAGAGGAAATCAGCAACAACAACCTACCTTCGCCCCGTACGAACCTCAGTGCGGTTCCGTCAGCTTCATGCCGCGCCAGCAGCCTTCACCTGAGCAAGAAAAAACATTGGATGCACTTCAAGTCCAGTCGCAGTTTGCGCACGTCTTAAAACTGCAGACGTCAAGACCGTTCGACAGTAAAGACTTCATTACCTGGTCATTCGAATTCGAGCTGATGATGGAAGGCGCGCAGATTCTTGGCTTCTTCGACGGGTCCCTGCCATATCCAACGCACGGGATGCAATACGACAAGCAGCAGTATACATATCAGTCCATGATGGCGTATACAATCCTACTGCGCAACGTCACACCGAACCAGCAGCAGAACATTCGGTCTTACCGAGGATACGGGAACTCCGCCGAGCTCGCGTACAACCACCTGAACAACCTGTATCAGGCAATAGACAGCGTCAATCAGAGTCGGTTAATGGCACAACTGACAACAGTGGAAATGAAACCGGGCGAAAAGGGATGGCGTATATCAGCCGCTGTCGCGAATTGCGCGACAAACTTCTGTCAGATTTATATGACATAGCTACTGTAGGCTAGAGTGGGGTAGCACATATGGGGTACAGTTTTCTAGGGTTTGCTTCTTGTACCCAACTCTCACTTAGTCATTCTCATTCCTGTTTTTCTTGTTTCACATGGTATAGAGCGGGTTCCTACATGGGACCGTTCCTTCCTAAGGGCCCACCATAAGAATTTTTTTTTTAGCTGCCCGCGCACATTGCGCCCTGCCCTAAAATTTTTTTTTAGCGGCCCCTACGCTGCCTCTACGCGGCCCCTACGCCGCCTCCCACGCGCCCCCTATGCGGCCCCTGGCGGCGCCCTGACGAGGCCCCTGCCGGCGCCCTATCGCGGCCCCTGACGCGCCCCCTGGTGGCGCCCTGACGCGGCCCCTGGCGACGCCTGACGCGGCCCTGACGCGGCCTGACGCGGCCCCTGGCGGCGCCCTGACGCAGCCCCTGCCGCGGCCCTGACGCGGCCCTGCCGCGCCCCCTGACGCGGCCCTGACGCGGCCTGCCGCGGCCCCTGCCGCGGCCCTGAAGCGGCCCCTGACGCGGCCCTGACGCGGCCCTGACGCGGCCCTGCCGCGACCCCTGGCGGCGCCCTGACGCGGCCCCTGACGCGGCGCCCTGACGCGGCCCCTGCCGCGGCCCTGACGCGGCCCTGCCGCGGCCCCTAACGCGGTCCTGACGCGGCCTGCTGCGGCCCCTGCCGCGGCCCTGAAGCGGCCCCTGACGCGGCCCTGAAGCGGCTCTGCCGCGGCCCTGACGCGGCCCTGACGCGGCCCCTGACGCGGCCCCTGACGCGGCCCCTGCCGCGGCCCCTTACGCGGCCCTGATGCGGTCCTGCCGCGGCCCCTGGCGGCGCCCTGACGCGGCCCCTGACGCGGCGCCCTGACGCGGCCCTGCCGCGGCCCCCTGACGCGGCCCCTGCCGCGGCCCCTGACGCGGCCCCTGACGCGGCCCCTGTCGCGGCCCCTGACGCGGCCCCGCCACCTACCTTTCTGGCCCCGCCGCCTCCTCTCAGCGGCCCCGCCGCCTCCTCTCAGCGGCCCCGCCGCCTCCGCCCAGCAGCCTAGCCGCCCAGCAGCTGAGCCACCGAGCCGCCCAGCAGCCGAGCCGCCGAGCCGCCCAGCAGCCGAGCCGCCCAGCAACAGAGCCGCCGAGCCGCCCAGCAGCCGAGTCGCTGAGCCGCCCAGCAGCCGAGCCGCCCAGCAGCCGAGCCGCCCAGCAGTCGAGTCGCCGAGCCGCCCTGCAGCCGAGCCGCCCGAGCCGCCCTGTCCGGTAAGAGCAGCGCCTCTCTCACAGCACTGCCCTCACCCCACTGTTTGCGCTGCTAGTCTACTACTGTCATGGCTACCCCTAGTGTCCTCGCTTTTGACGCTGAGGGTCGGGCCATTGACTTTGACGTCTGGATAGATGACCTGCAGCTTTTCTTACAGTGCGATAGGGCAGACGGCCTCTCCCTCTTTGACCTCACTTCTGGTGCCTCTCCTGCTCCCGCCACTGATGCTGACGCAACTGTTCGCTCCCAGTGGGCCACGCGCGATGCTGCTGCGCGTCTTGCTGTGCGTCGCCACCTGCCTACCTCTGAGCGTGCGCACTTTAGCCAGTACAAGAGTGCTCAGACCTTGTACGACGCTGTAGTTGCACGCTACTCCTCCCCTGCCACTGCTGCACTGAGCCGCCTCATGCTACCGTACCTCTTCCCTGACCTTGCTGCCTTTCCCACAGTCGCTGACCTCATCACGCACCTCCGCACTAGTGACACTCGCTACCGCGCTGCACTTCCTGCTGAGTTCTGCGCCAAGAACCCCCCCCCCATGTACATCACCCTCTACTACATCGTCACCCGTCTCCCTGACTCCCTTCACGTAGTCAGGGACCACTTCCTCTTGGTTTGTCCCACCACTCTCACCGTTGACCTCCTCGAGAAGGCCCTCCTAGCAGAAAAAAAGAGCATAGTCGCTGTAGGAGCCTCTCGTGGTGACCCTCGCACCCCCATCTTTGAGGGGTGTTCCCCCTCCCCTCTTTTGCCCTCTGTTGCCTCTGCTGCTGCGGCCGACCTCGCTGGTTTGGAGTCGGTTGGGGCAGCGTCTACCCCTAGCAGGAGACGCCGCCCTGGCAGGGGCAAGGGGGGCAGGGGCGCTGGAGGAGCTAGCGGGGGCGGTGGAGGCGGCGGTGGAGGTGGTGGAGGAGGTGGTGGTGGCGGTGGGAGTGGTGGCGGGGGTGGAGGTGTAGGTGGCGGCAGTGGAGGCGCAGGAGGCAGCGGCGGTGGCAGAGGGAGCGGAGGTGGCGGCGGTGGAGGAGGAGGCGGCGGAGGAGGTGGAGCTGGTCGGGGTGGCGCTGCGCAGAGGGTCAGCTCCGGTGGTGGTCAGCGCCAGCAGCAGCAGCAGCAGCAGCGCACTCGTGACGTCCCCTCCCCTCAGCAGCTCCGTGAGTGGTACACTGCACGCCAGAGGGGTGGGGGTGCTGGTCCGTGCACCTACGTCCTGCGCACCGGCGACCGCGCGGGTGAGCAGTGCGGGGGTGCGCACTCCACCCAGCGCTGCTTTGGCCGCCTCACGGACGCTTGGCGTCACCAGTTCCTTGAGGCCACTGAGATCCCCCGCTGGGGTGAGC